GCAGAGCATGTCTCGTGGATTCTGTCAGAAGCACATGGCTGATTGTGTCGGAGGTGTTGTTGTGGTTGTATATGCTGCTGTGGTTGTCTGAGAGAGGCAGACGGACCAGGAGTATAGATCAGTGGGTCACATCGCTTTCACTAGTGGAGATGTGTGGATTGTGGGACTTGACAGATGTGGATAGACTTCATACTGAGGAATTTATTTGATGGAGGAGGTCTGTGTGGGTGGCAAGGTACGGTGATGGTTGAAAATGTGTGACTATCTATTTTGATTATTAATGTATATGCGCATTTGATTGATCCTAAATTTATTAGTGCAGACAAGTATGCAATATAAGCAAGCTCTTGTTAATGTCAAATGCAGTGCATGATACTGTATGTGTTGGATGCCTGTGGGCATTCTGAGTTAGAATGGGCCCCCGAAACCTTCTCATTAGAAGCAACAAAGTAGATTCGATGGTCAGACTCTGAGAAGTGAGTGAGTGAGTCCATTTTTATGCCGCTTTTAGCAATACTCCAGCAAAATCGCAGTGGGGGACACCACAAAGGGGCTTCACACATTGTACCCATGTGGAGAATCGAACCCGGGTCTTTGGCATGTTGAGCTAACGCTTTAACCACTAGGTTGCCCCACCACCCCTGAGAATTGGATGACCACAGGTGTTTGTACCCTGATGGTGTGGTTGTTTGCCCACAATATCCATAAAGTATTGTCTGACCTACTATATATACTGGCTGCCATCATACAGCTGTAATATTGCTGAGTACAGGATTAAATTGTGAAACAACACATGATGTACTGTTGGGCATTGTCATGATCAGAATGTATTTGAATGGAATATCCCTTCATGTTATCCAAGATGTGTCAAAACTGTTGTTATTTATAGTATTGTCAACAAAAATGTTCAAGAAACAAGAAAGAAAAATAGTGTTATAATATTTTCAAACTCCATAAAATTTACATTTTTGTAATCAGTGATAGAATCGTTTTGATGTATACCAGCTGTACTGAAAGTATGAAAATGCTGAAACATCTGTGTATAGGTATATGGCATGTTGAGGACAGTTGGTAGCTGAGGACAGGTATACGAGTACCTCTGAATACATGGTGTACTGTACCTGACGACACATGGTGTGTATTTGTAGGCAACCTGATACTATTCAATGCAGGCTGGTGAAGAACTTGCTTCACCCTTTGATCAGCAATTCATGGGTATGGAGAACACAATGATAACATTAACCTGTACACTTAGTTTGACAGCTGAATACAACTACTTCATGCTCTGACTCTCCTAACTCTGCTGTGCTTGCCACAAGCTTCCTGCAGCTTGTGCGATTAAATGCGAATGTGTTCCCTGAAAACCAATTCATGACATATTGAACATGCGGAAATACTGAACCTCTCTAGGAGAACATATGCATTCCTACTGCATTTTGTTTCACCGGTACTGTATACTTTTACTTGACGGAAACCTGGCTATACCCTTCCCAATACGCTGTGTTTGAAATTAAAGTGGGTCCTGTGTCCTTGAGGTTGGCTCCCATAGTATTTAAATTTTGGGGACTCCTGTATTTTTAGATGATTGATTATCCCTGTCAAAACCTGAATGGTGAATATCTCTGGGAGGTATACAACTCCCTGGCTCAATATAATGTACTAATCACTGCTTCTGCTAAGCTTCTGCACGGAAGAGAATCTTGGTGATAAAACCTTTGGTTACCTGGAGTCAGAGACCTATGGGTCATCTAGATGTGTGCTTTTGTGCCAGACCCATCATTTTCCCAGCTGTATCTTCAAACTCTCTGAAGGTCGTCTTTTGGCATACCAGGAATTTTTTGCTCCTGACTTTCTTTTGCTGGGACACCAACATACCCCTGAGGCTGCTTGTACGACTTCCTTGTCATGGAATGATTTAGTCTGTTATTGTTGTTACTGTATTCTGAAGGTGTTTTGTAATAACACCACATCTGGTAGATATATCAATACTGGAGGCAGTAGACACATCGGTCAATATATGTCATCCTCAAATGCATATCATGAACTGTAGTTGAAGATCGCCTTTAACAGTGATCTTTGTAAAGGTAATGAGTCTTTGTTTCTATATTGTTTTTGTTTAAGTAGGTTTTTGTTGTTTAACATGGCACTCACAATATCCCTCGGTACTAAGTCTGAATGAATTATTCAATATGTGAAGCCCATTTCTAGTGTCCCCTGTCATGATATTGGTCTAAAATTTCTTGCATAAAACCCAACCCCTTCACTCACTGAATAAATTATTGAGTCTGGAGCACACTCTTCAGTGATCAACATCATGAGCATAACTGAAAAACAACATATGCTTCAACCAAATCAGCAAGTCTGACCACCTTTCCTGTTTATCGCTTCTTAAGACAAACTTGGGTTACCAGATGTGTAGTCAGTCATAGACAATATTTTGTGAAGAAGATACAAAAATCAGAATTATTTTCAGTGAGATGAAATATTGATGATTATCAATATGAACATGATGAAAGTTGTATCATCAACAATATCATACATAACTATTATGATAGACAACTAGTCTCTGAAATGAATATATTTTACAGAAAACACAGCTCATAGTAAATAAAATAAAATATAATGTAAAGGAGCCCTGAGACTTCCTGAATCTGTGGAAATCTAGACTTGCCACATTTTCTAGACTTTTGTGGGCTTTCTTTGGGGTCTGTATGACAGACTAGTATTATGATGAACTAAAGTTAAATGCACCCAAACAGATTTGTTTTTATCAATTACCAAAACAGGAAACAATTCATTTTGTTCAATATTCAATGTCGTCAAGGTTGCTGGAACAGCTGTACCACTTTAGAGTTATTGCCTTGGTTATATTAAGACTGAATCTCCAGGTATGTACGTAAAGCTTATTGTTGGACGTGCAAGATGTTAATACAACCCTGCCCTCATGACGTCCATGGTATTGATTTGGTTCATCTATAGATTATAGAATCACAGTCAACATATGTGCCTTACAGTGCTCTCTTTTCGTACAGTGACAGAAATAGAATAATTGATCATTTGGACAAAAAACGAATAAGCATTTGACAGTTGTTCACATTGTATTGTGTACCACAAACATGTTGTGTGTTATTGTGAATGAGGGTGGAAAATTGGACAGACATTATCCACTGACTGTGTGATAAGGGCCGACAGTTTTGACTATAACGACCTTGTTACCGCAGTATTTGGTTTATGTGGTTCATGTTGCTTGAGGATAATTTATGCCAGGGAACAACAAATCTGTGGATGTAGACAAATTATGCTTCATGTTTGCAAAGATTGTTTTGGGCACACAAGACCTGTTATAAAGTAAAACAAATATGACATGGAATTGCAGGAAGATAAGAACATTAATAAATCATGATATTAAAGAAAAGTATGTTTAAGTATATCAGAAAATATGCATTTATTATTGTGTACTGTTTAAACAGCAGTAAATTTCATCACAATTTAGAAGAGATTGATCATGTAAAATGGAGATGATTGACCTAGTTCAATCATAATGTGAGTAAACATCCATTGTTGATTCACTGGTTAAAAATGGAAAGAAGTGACCTCGAAAAAATCATACTTTTCATTGTTTGCTCAAGGAATGGAATAGTTGTAATTTTGTCTTGGTGATTTATACATGGTAAAGTGAACGCAATCAGCAATACAGCAATCAGGCCGTTATTGTTACATCATGGTATGTCTAGGTCCTGTTTGTAATAATATCGATGCTGTACACACATTTGATGATGTTCATTGTGTACAATGGAATATATTCCAGATTAGTTTAGGAAGTGGTAAAACACTGGAAATAGCTTGCGTAACTTGGACTGGCAAGTTTGGGGTCTTTCTCAAGTCCATGTGTGTTGACATTAAGGGTTTTCTGTGCAAGTGTCAAATATTTGACTTGATCTCTATTTGAAGAAGATAATCGTGAAGAATACTCCCCATTGTGTTCTAAAATCTAGAGGTGTACTGTCAGCAAATAGTCCTGGCAATGTTAATGTCACCATTTTTCTAGCAGTTGAAAATATTGTTCAGAGTAAAAAGTGCTGACTATGCAAGTTGCATTTTCTTGATTGAGCATCCAATACAAATACTGTGTCTTATACACAATACTGTTGTGTTACATAATGTGCATCACAACATGGCAACATCAGTTGATGTGGCTTATCTAATCAGTTGCAGTAATGTCAGTTAGAGAGTTTAGTTTTACGCTACACTCAGCCATATTCCAGCTATATGGTGGCGGTCTGTAAATAATCTATTTGAGGTGCTTCCTATTTGAAGCCTATTTGTGGTGCTTTCTATTTGAAGCCTATGTGTGGTGCTTCCTATTTGAAGCCTATGAGTGGTGCTTCCTATTTGAAGCCTGTTTGTGGTGCTTCCTATTTGAAGCCTATTGGCTGTGCTTCCTTTTTGAAGCCTATGTGTGGTGCTTCCTCTTTGAAGCCTATTTGTGGTGCTTCATGATATAACTTGAAAATTGCTTAAAGAGGTGATAATACCCACTTGCTGACTCACTCATTACAAATGAAAGAATTATATGGATTTATCTTGACCTTCTAAGAGGCAAATATTCATCACAGGTGTGCGGCTAATGTCATCAAACACTTCTTCTTTGAACATGTTGGATTTAAGAGTTTCCAATACATGTTAATCTCTATTTCATTTAATATGTCCAGCTATTGTTATGTCTTTGCAGCAATGACCTGTATTGCACTTATACCAGGACCAGTATAGAAGAAGAGGTTTTAATTTATTGATTCACATTATGGCATTGAATGCTCTGTTAAACATGTTAGAACCCTTGAAAAGTTCCTACATAAAGTTGATTGTACTTCATTTACTGAGGACACGGGGTCTGTAATTTGGAATACTGGTAAGAGGTGCAATTTACACAATCCCAACAACCCACATTAATTTCACCCACTGCTGATTCCTTATTCTAAAAGAAGTATTTTATTTTGCAGCGAGGACATCAAGTGGTGCTGAAGAAGACATCACAGTGCTGCCCCTGATCGATGTGGGCAATCTCAAGGAAAGACTGCACCACAGTTAGGATGGCATGTGTCTCTGTCTAGACACTGCTTCAGCCAGAAGGGATGGGGACCCAAGTCAACATAAAGAATAAGATCTCTGCACTGGATGTTCAAATCCATCAAGCAGCGATTCATCCGAAGGGCAGATTCGAAGTGAATGGCAACTACATCGAAAAGTGTAAAATGGCTGATGTAGATTCTTTGAATTTGGAGAATGGTTTTCTTCCGAATGGTTTACCAAGAATTATCTCCCCTGATGATGAGGCCCCATCAGAACATCTGTGTAATGGACATCAGGAGGAGGTTGAGGAGGGAGAGGAGTCCTCAGGAATAGCAGATCAGTCCTGCTCCTCTGGAGAACATACCAACAGTGCAGATGCAGTTGAGGGTGATGATAACGACAAACTAGTGACTGTTCCAGGGTGTAATGGTCCTCTCCCACGTGTCACGGAGGAAGTAGAGCATGTGGACCCCACCCAGGGGGATTCCACCCAGGGGGACGCCACTCCGGGGGAATCCGCTCAGTCGGATTCCGCTCAGGGCAGTGATTCCGAGAGGACTAAGGGCGATGAGGAGGACAAAAAGTTTGATCCTAAGAAAGGAGTACGACTGTCACTAAACCTAAAACATGCATTTACTAGTTGTAGATCTAGCAAAGATAAGAATCTCAAAGACAAACCACCTCTACCTGGAACATTCAAACCAAAGTCAAGACCAGCTCCTCGCCAGTCATGGCTGTTGCGGTTGTTCGAATCGAAACTTTTTGACATGTCCATAGCTATTTCATATCTATTCAACTCCAAGGAGCCTGGTGTTCAGACTTACCTAGGTAGGTACTCCTGCTTTACATTATATCCATTAAACCTCAGTGTAGAGTACCTGTTTATGTTTATGTGTTTACACAGCGGTATTAGTAGAACGGCTGTATTTTGCCTTCGGTTCGGTATACCGTAATGCAATCCAGAAATTCAGTATTTTTGGTTTTCGTGCCGTCATTTTATCAACATTTTTAAACCTTTTTCTAAAATTTCTAGAAATCAAATCATTTTGTAAAAATATATCTAGGTTTGGCTCTTGTTGTGTCAATTTTCTGCATTATGGTCATATCTCATATACCGAATGGAAACGAAGGCCTTGTACCACAATATGTACCGTACCGTGGTAAGAGCATACCGTTTCACCCTATAATTCCACTATGCTTACTTCTGATTTCAGTGACCCGTGAAGGTCCGGGTTAGAATGAACCTTCAGTAACCCATGCTTGTCGTAAGAGGCGACTAACAGGATCAGGTGGTCAGGCTCTCTGGCTTGGTTGACACATGTCATCGGTTCCCAATTGTGCAGATCGATGCTCATGCTGTTGATCACTGGATTGTCTGGTCCAGACTCAATTATTTACAGACCGCCGCCATATAGCTGGAATATTGCTGAGTGCGCGTAAAACTAAACTAAACTCACTCACTCACTCTGATTTCAGTAATTGTGGGTGGATTACCGATTGTCCTCAATTATATGCTTGTGGGTTTCACCAAACTGGTGTTCCAGATGTCTAGAGGCTTCCCTCCAACAATAGGATGACAAACACAGTGATATATATGGAATACTATTAAATATATTGAACACATTTTAAATTCGCCCAACCATAATCTCATCATTTTAATGTACTGCCCTCGGTGAATGAAAACAACATAGACCTTCAGCGAGATAAAACATTACCCCAGGGATGCTGTCTCTTCAGTGTATGTTCATTCCAGACCTTCCGCATCAATATTCAGGCTTATCACTTTATTTTAGGGGAAAATGCTGGTGTATTTGTTCATTAAGACTTGGGATGATTTGCTGTCACATTGAGCATGTCCAGCACAAAAATCAGAGCTAATCTGACATTGAGACAAAGATTACAATGAGAGGAATGTTATTGTAAAAATATATGTTTCTTGAGGTGTGGAGCTAATTACATCAATGACCATGGTTATAAATGAAATATTAAACATGATATTGCAGTAGGAATATGTATGGGGTCCCTAAATTGAAACACTACTGCAGCAGACGTCCAAAGCTCCAGAACCTGAATCAATTTTTTTACCCTGATGTATTGACGCTGTATCACAATGATCTGTATCAGTATGGCTCCAGCCTTTGAAGTATAGACCTCTTTCCATTACTCTGATTAGATCACGCTATGGCTGAAGCGTATTGTATAGGACATCATTGTTTCCTGACATTGGTATTAAAATCGGTTTAGTATCTGAAGCAGATTTGTTTAGCAGCAAATCACGTCACCTCTTTCATGTTAAACTAACAACTCGTTTTCATGTTTGCCTTGAAAGCCTTGATTAGGTTTCCATGTAATTAATGGATGTTAAGATTGCATGCAAATAGTGATAGATACCTGCTCTGGAAATTGATATATTAAGCACATGCTCACAGTGTACAGGAAAAGCTTTAGACATTTATGATTTAATGATGGGAAGTATAGGGTTTGCCAGAGGCCTTACATGGAACCCTAGGGAACCAGAGGTGGGGCTGGCAGCCAGATTCCACCTTGACACAAGAAGGTTACATGCATATAGCTATTGATGTATATTGATGTATATATGACATTGATTGATGTCGTTCAGACGATGCTGCCTGTGAAGTGTCAACATGGAGAATTTACAACTGTCATGTTTGAGAGTTGTAAATACTCCATCTCATGTAAATTTACACAAGTACAAATTTGCACTGAATGTGTACGTTGTCATGTAAACAGTTATGCAAACATCCCAAAGTTATATAAATAATTCATGTGTTGATTTGGAAACAGTTGAGTTATACATTGAAGCTGTTTAGTATACAGCAATATCAACCTTTTAGGCGAACATAGCTTGGCGGACTGTGTCAAAATTTGCTGTACAAATCAAATCAAACATATGTTGGTTCATGCCAAGATTTAAGTTAACACTCTTCTCATTTGACTTCAATTGGAAAACAATCTTTCATGTTTGAAACGACTTCTGAATATGTGTGACATATTTTATTTATGTACATGAGTCAATTTTCATGTGAAGGTATAGTAAGTTTACATATACACATGTATGTATAGTTACACATGAGCAGAATAACTCAGATGAGTACATGTTGCATGTGAACAGGGCATTACACTGCTGTGCTGCATAAATGAGTTTGTAGAGGAGCAAGGTGCACCAGTTGCAAAGGACACTTAAATTTGCTGAGTTACGTGTTCCTCTGATCATTAGTGGGCCAGAATTCTGTGAATGCGATTGTAAATCCCAGACCCTCCTGTTATCTCTTGTTTTGTCACCACTATATGACAGTTTCACAAAAATGGTTAAACCTTAGACAGCCGTCACCTTAAAACAGAAATATTGACTTCTCAGTCACACATTGTTTTAAGTTTTCACCCTTAATTTGAACACTGTATATTGGTAATGAGTTGAAGATAGCTCATTTTCTAGGAAAGAGTGAGTTTAGTTTTACGCTGCTTTTAGCAGTATTCCAGCAATCATATCAGAGGACATCAGGAATGAGCTCCACACATTTTACCTATGAGGGGAATCGAACACAGGTTTTCGGCATGATGAGAGAACGCTTTAACCACTAGGCTACCCCACTGCCCCTTCATTTCCCTTCATTTCCTAGGACCTTGATTACTGATTACCAATCAGACCACCGCCATAAGCTGGAATATTGCTGATTCTGAAGATTTTTTCATATCTGTAAGTGATGTAGAAGAATGTCCTATGAAAGTTGAGAACCGTCAGCATGTTTGTTTGTGTTTAGAAAAGTCACTGGTGTGTAGTAGTAGCTGGATGTTTGTAACTCAAGGTCACATGACGTGAGTTAGACACTGCTGCTGATGATGACTGGGTCCGAAATTCATGATAGCACCAGTGTCACAGTTACATTCGTCACAATGCCACAGTTAATAAAACTTCATAAAAAAGTAAAAGACCTGGTGATGATGTGAATAAACCGAAGACAGTGATAAATGGTCTTTCTCAAAAGTAATCTTGACAAACAGGCGAAATGTATGAGTTTAACGCTCTGTATGATTGATGACGTACACCTGGGAATTCAGAAACTGAAATGGTTATCATCAATCTCAATGAAAAAGGGGAATCACTTTTATGTTACAACTGCTTATTATCTAATGTCTATTTCATGGTAAAATGACATTCATCAAGTTCTAAAATGGATCAGTAGTAATTTTCTTGTGAGCATAAGTACGATCAAAAGGGCACATGTGAAGATCTTCTTCATGTGTGATCATGGTGATTCACTTGAAAATGGATACATTTCTATCACTCGATTAACATATTATGGTCGTAGACTATCCTATACTCTTCCAAGATATAAACAAGCTTTCACATAGGTAGTTCCATGCCTTGAGACAATAGGTTATACATAATGATTCAGTGTTGTTTCTTAATGTCCAGGACCCATGAAGATGGTTAGAATTCATCTGTAACCCATGCTTGTCGTAAGAGGTGATTAACAGGATCGGGTGGTCAGGCTCTCTGACTTGGTCGACACATGTCATCGTATCCCAATTGCATAGATCAATACTGATACTGTTGATCACTGGATTATCTGGTCCAAACTCAATTATTTACAGACCCCGCCATATAGCTGGAATATTGCTTAGTGTGGCGTAAAACTAAACTCACTCACTCACTCACTCACTCACTCTTAATGTCCTGGGCCAAGATTTTCTAAGCTCTCTTAGTGCTAAGATAGTCGTAAGTGCCATACATTAACATTAACTTACGAGTATCTTAGTGCTAAGAGAGCTTTGAAAATCTTGGCCCAGCATTTTAAAGTTCATGGACAGTGTGTACATGAAACATTTGCAAGAACTTGAACAACAATTCTCACTTTAATGAGCTACAGCATCCCCAGGGGCAAGGAGTAAGAATATGCTTCCTTGGTATTAGTGACAATCTCCTGATACCTCTGGTAACAATAACCCCTTCAGAGTTTCCCCATCACATCAGGTCCACAGCTAGCTTGTGACCATATAAATCGGGTGGACAAGCTTTGTGACTTAGTTCGGAGTGTACCATGAAACCCTGATGGTGTGGGTCATGATGAAAACATCAGTGTTGTCTACCACAGGTGCCATTATTTGCAAGATATTGTTAAGAGGGCAACTGAACAACAAACAAACAAATCATTACATGTGTATTTGGTTCCTGTTTCCAGGTAACAAAATGTTCAGTTTCCGTGAGGAGGATGTTGACTTCTATTTGCCCCAGCTACTCAACATGTACATTCAGATGCATGACGTCGCCGAGGCCATACACCCCTACCTAGTGCACAGGTCAGTAGAGGGTTTCACCAGGCCCTCACTCCTGGTATGTTTGTTTATAGTATCTCCATGACGTCGCCGAGGCCATACACCCCTACCTAGTACACAGGTCAGTAGAGGGTTTCACCAGGTCCTCACTCCTGGTATGTTTGTTTATAGTATCTCCATGATGTCATGATAACTACCCTGGACCCAGTTGCTGCTACTGCTTTGTTCACCCTGTTCCAAAGGGCATGGCACCAAAGAAGCCATCCAATCAAGGGTCCAATGAGATGTGGATGTAATTTTGAACGTAGGTTTATGGTGCCTCTCATTACAGAGGGCGTTTGGTTGGTTACTGATTTGTGGATAGTATTTGTAAGGTATTTTAATTTTCACTGAAGAAAAGGACAGTAACAAATAAGCTTTGAATGAAATTGTTTGTATTTTAACAGGAACTTTTGAACTTCTTTTATGTTTTTTTCTTTATATTTGCTCTAGGTGTCGGAACAGTGTAGACTTCTCCATCATGGCGTGTTGGCTGCTGGGAGCATACTCAGCAGACGTCCTCAAACCATCATGGAAAAACTCACAGGGTGTCAAGTTAAAAAATATGATCCTCAATGAGGAATTACGTCCCCCAAACAACACTCCAAGAGCCAGTCTACCGTCACAAGCCCCACCCACCACGGGATGATTCTACCTGGAGCCACACCCAACTCGTTAATGGCAGTGAAGAAAACTCATCATCGATCAAAGTCAGATGCTACAGGTAACTAGCTCAATTCAAACAAGATATTGCATATAGGGCTTTGTTTTTAAATTTCTGGAGGTAGGGCTTTCTTTGTTATCGAAACCAAATTAGAACAGTTCATGGTCAAGACGTCTTGAACTATGGCACATACATACGTTTATTTGTATAGTGGTGCATTATGGGAATGGCTTGGAAGCCTAGATGATGGGTTCGCTCTTCATTTTGAGTAAATCCAGGACTTTTCCCTTCTTGGATGATTATGACTCCCATTTTTGTATTCCCTCTGTGACATACTTGAAATTTCTTTCACAAAGAGCATGATACTCTACCCAGACTATGGGTTTGCTCTTTATGTTGGGTTGATCCAGATCTTTTCCCTCTTTGGGTATGATTTTAGTGCCCTTTTATGTATGCCCTCTGTAACATGAGTGAAATGTTCTTAACTACATGATGCTGTACCCTGTCACAGTGGCCACATATATTTGATGTGTGTTCCAGGCATCTATCTGCGGCACAGTGACAGCACACCCAACATGCAGTCTGTGGCCGGAGACCTGGCATCCGGCAGAGCCTTCGACAATGGGTGCACCTGCCACCAGAGCTCGGAGGCCGTCCTCAACGACCTGACGGGGAAGGAGACACTATGTATGTGCGAGGTGAGTCTTGTCTTGTTTAGTCATTTGAATTCAGTAGAAGTAACTGAAGCATATAAGTTACAGATAGTTGTTTGGCACTGGCCATCCATTCTATAACATATTTCCATTACACCTCACTCCCATTTATGAGTTATCTGTATACAGGTTCACATTTATGACTTTTGTTGCAAAGCAAGAACTGATTTTATTTAATGCACCGCCTCTCCACTTCTGTTGTTGTTTTGGCAGGCCCTTTTAAACCACCTCCACCTCTACTGTAACTGGTTAAAGTAGAACTGAAGCATGGATTATTTAGTGTGACTGGTGTTTGTGTAATGGAAGGGAGATAATCTGATTTGGGTGTGTATGAGTATGCTTTGTCTGATATTACCTCCCTTTCCAGGCTCCACGACTCATGCCCCAGAACGAGTTTGTTCAGGCTCTGATGAACATCGGCAGTAGACTACAGCTCCTTCCTACCAAAGAACTAAGAAGTAAGTGAATATCTTCATTATTAGGATTCTGAAGAGAACCTGCAGCATGTGTTTGAATCCGTGTCAGCCCCAATATACTTGTGGGTTTGTCAGCACCTGGCCTGTGTTGAGGGTTCCCTACAATGGTAATAGTCTGAGACCTGCATCACTTGGGTCCCTCCTCCCACAAGCTGACACATGGTGACATGACTGGAATACAGTTCACATCTGTGTTAAACCAAACTCTCTCAATATATCACATGGTCTCTGTGAATAACTGCAAAACTTCTTACATGTCATAACTGTTAGATGATAATATTTCATTCCGCAACTCAACCCTGCCAGTGATTTCTTCCAGACTTATCTTGTATAATTTCAACTAAATTGCTAAATTTCCTTCCTTTCTTGTTATTTTAGCGTCTCGCCTGATCGCAGAGCTTGCTATGTTAAACCTGAACCTCCCTGCCCGTGTGTGGCTGCCTATAGCTTCACAGGATCACCATATTGTCAGGATACCCCATACACAAGCTGTTGTGCTCAACTCCAAGGAAAAGGTAAGGACAGGATGATCAATTCTGAATACATTTGGGAAGACCGCCTCCGTGGTGTAGTGGTTAGAGCGTCCGCCCGGAGAGCGGAAGGTCGCGGGTTCGATCCCCGACCACGTCAAACCAAAAGACGTTAAAATATGGTATTTGTTGGTCCCTGCCTGGCGCTCGGCATTAATGGGTACAACAAGGACTGGTCGGCTCGGAGTCAGTATAATGTGTCTGAGTGGGGTATTCATGCTTCACTGCGGCATGGTATTTCAGTGGGCTAGCACTATAAAACCAGCTTAAGTCTGAGCTAGTACAAGCAGCCGCACATACACATACACACGCATGCACGCCGTCATATGAGCGAAATATTCTCAAGCACGACGTAAAAACAAATTTCACCTCACCTCACATTTGGGAGATTCATACAGCCTGTGGCATTAATGATTACCATATGACCATATACCACTTGATAACATCAGTATCAAATTTGGATTCATGAAAGTGTTTGTGAACAACTCAGCAGATACATATGCGTTCAAATGCCTCAGATTTTGAAAAAATGTTTTACTTGAAGACATACATTTTTATGGAGTACATCTTCTTTCTTGTTTATAACAACATTTCAGAGATAAAACATTGTAATAAACAAACAAGTAGTTGTTATCCATAAAGGTATCATGTCTGCATGCTCTTACACCTGCAGTCTGTAACAGTCAACAGCTGTAAAACCAACAATGATATCAGTGCATATTGAGGTGCTGACTGAAACCCTTTGTTTGTCCATTTGTACTCCTCACCATTCATGACACAGATCACTCATTATAGTACATTCATACACAGCGACAGATAACTGTTTGGGTCATTGAGTTATGTACTCGCTTGTGTTCATCTCAATTGGGTATCCTAATTTTCCAAATAAATTGTACTCACCTCACTCAAACTCAATTGGGTATTTTGCCATTTTCCATTAATTTTAAAAACATAAAAAGTGTAAATGTTAGTGTTTGTTATTTATATTTGATCTGTGATATGAGAAACGATAAGAAAGACTGCAAGTTGCTAAGTTCATGTCCTGAAATTGAATCTTTCAGTATACCTCAGTTATTCTATCTATCCACCAGTACGCAAGCAAAGATTTGACATTTGTGTACGCATGTAAGATCACATTCATTGAGTATTTACAAAAATTCAAGCGTACTTGTCAGTGTATGAAATACAGCCAGTCCGACCGCCCGAGATGGTCTAGATTTCTGATGTACGGTCTAAATTTCCATCTAGCCAGCCCGATGGTCTGGTAAATTTTTAGATGTTCCATACATCTGAGTAAGTTCACCATATTTGGTCTGGTTAAATCCATTTTGGGCTGGTAACATTTTGAAGTTACCAGCCCTGATGTCTGGTTGGATTTTTGGCTTATTTCATACACTGGTACTTGTGCGCAATAGACTTAATAGGAATTGAGTTTTCACATAAATATTTGCGTAATTTACGCAGATACGCAGCTTCTCTGTACCTCTGTTCTTATGTGTTTCTACTGCAATAAGGCCCGCCTATTGTTCTTACTTTGATATTGATAGCAATCAGAACAATGCTTTGTGAGGTCTGTGGACTAATGTCAAGTTTTCTTGATGTCAGGCTCCGTACCTGCTGTATGTTGAAATTCTGGAGTGTGAGAACACAGCGTCCAGCCAGGTGCCGCACAAGCTGCTGGAAAACACACTCCGCTTCACCCGCTCAGAAGAGGACCTGTCTCACTACGCCACACGTACCAACGGCTCCCCCAAACCTGACTTCAGCGTCTACTCCATGAACGGAGACTTTGATGACGCCGACTGCTGGTCACAAGAAGATGATGAGATCATCCAGGTCAGTTACACGCCTTATAAAGTCGGCACATGTTTGGTATTTGTTTCTAGTTAATCATTTAGGGGGAAATAGTTGCTATATTGGTGTAGGGTGTTGACTATCTCTACAATAACAATGTGAGAGCCACTATCTAGTACCTGAATCCAGTCATATTTGTTCTGATCTATTGAGATCGGCTTATTTTGGTCCAAATCCTGAGACTTAAAATGAAAATAATGTATAATACAAGTCCGAGCTTGTAGATTTGATAGCAGAGACTGTTGTTAGATGTTTGCATCTAATGATTATGTTGAAATAGATTGGTTTTGATATATTTGGTGCATTTTATGACATTATCTGTATATGCAAATTGTCCAGCAAAAGTAGAGCTGACAAGCAAAAAAGGACCCCGTATTGTTAATCCAGCAGTCTTCATACAGATATAACAAAAGTGAAAACAGTGTGACCAAATATCTTATTTAATTATACAACTGAAGTCGTGACTGTAGGTGTAGCGTTTGTACTACGTTAATAAGGAACTGTGACAATAAATGATGCTGAGGATGAGAACAACATGTGTCTTCTCTCCCTCAGTTTGCAATGAAGTGCCGGTCCAGTGACACAATATCACAGATGTCCACCGAGAGTTCAACGAGTGCAGACAGTAAGGACCCTGTGTACATTGCAGCAGGAGACATAAGGAGGAGGCTGTCCGAGAATATCTCCGCTCCCAAAGGGAAGTTTGAGGTGTGTATCATTTAGTTTGAGTACTATTTACTATGTTTGCTGAGCTTATGTCAAGTTGGGTTCGCTACTTGTAAACTTGGAATTGACCTTCCCCTGGGGAAAAAATTCTGAGGCATTTGTTGTTGTTGCTTACTGGGATGTTTTCATAATGCTGCTCAAAGATTGTGATGCTTCAACCCTGGGATTGTATTTAGAAATGAAAATATTAGATACACCATGCTCCAAACAGATAATTCCATACACGTTTTGCTAGGCAACGCAGTAGCCTGTCAGTTGAAGCATTTGTGTACTGTGTCAAAGAATATTGACCAGAGAATATTCAAGTTACATTGTAATGTCTGTTTATGGTGATATCAGCCGAGAGAACACAGTAATATTGCTGAAAACAGCATAAAGAAATATCTTCCATTGACTCATCTCATTTGAAATGATGCACATTCCAGCGCGACCCTGAGGACCCATCAGCTGCAGCCCTGAAGGAACCATGGGAGGAGAAGGTTGAAAGGATCCGAGAGTCCTCCCCGTACGGTAACCTCCACAACTGGCGACTGTTGTCCGTCATCATCAAGTGTGGCGACGACCTCCGACAAGAGCTTCTGGTTTATCAGGTTCTACAACAGTTGAAGGTCAGTACACATCTCTGTGACACTGCAGTGGCTTTTTCTGTGAAATTCTTTGCTTATGATAAAGGTTAAAAATGTCTAGGATGACAGGAACCTCCGATGGAAGCTCTTTTTGGCATGTCCACTGACAGGAATGTGTTGCCATGGACTGTTCATACCGAAAATGCTTTGAGATGAATTATTGTCAGGTTTCACAGACTTCAATCCATAAGTGTCTGGTCAATAACCTGCCTGCTCTCTTGAAACATCTTCCACAGAGATTGAGATCTTTTGGGTCTTGTTTTCATCCAGAAAATGTGCTAAATAGCAAACCTGATTCAGTATGTGGTATTGTGTCATCCCTGTATCACGTAAGGTTACCTTGTTCCTCTGGTCAGATTAGAGGTCTAATGTCAGTTACTGTGTCTGCAAACTGGATGTTGTTGCTGATGTTTAGTCCTGTAGAAGAATCAATGAGGTAACTGGGCCCAGCTGTACAGACATGTTACATCTACAGTGTTGTGTGCTCCTTCTTCTAGAGCATATGGGAACTGGAGCATGTGCCGCTGCGGATCCAGCCCTACAAGATCGTGGTGACATCCAACGATAGCGGGATGATTGAGCCTGTCAGGAATGCTGTGTCTCTGCATCAGATCAAGAAGCACAGCAAGAAGTCACTGTTGGACTATTTCATTCATGAGTTTGGACCTCCAACATCGGAAGGGTTTTTGACAGCTCAAAAGAACTTTGTTCAGAGTTGTGCTGGTTATTGTTTGGTGTGCTACCTCATGCAAGTGAAAGACAGGTAAGCACCTGCTGATGTCAACAGCAGTTACAGCACAGAGTAGTCGGGTAACATCCCTGTTGAGATTGACACACCAAGGTTTGATAGCCAGTAGGTGTCGTGTGTAGTCATGTTACCAGCTCAAAGATTAGGTGGTCAGGCTCACTGACTTGGTTGAACATGTCATCATATCCCAATTGTGTAGAATGATGCTCATGCTGTTGATCCCTGAATTGTCTGGTCTAGGCTCGATTATTTACAGACTGCCACCATATAGCTGGGATATTGCTGAGTGGGGCGTAAAACGACTGTCAATCAATCAATCAACTCACAGGTCGGCAGTGAGGAGGCTATTTCTTCTGTTTCCAGTTAAATCGGTGACATGAACAACTTATTATGAATAATATATGTTGTTTGGGGGTTTGTGTGCCGGAGTTTCTGGTGCTTGTTTCATAAAGCAGTCTTAGTGCTACGACTGTAAGTCTATGTTTTAGTACTGGTGTTGATATAGTCATAGCGCTATGATCACTTTGTGAACCACGGACCATATAGCTGGAATATTGCTGAGTGCGGCGTAAAACTAAACTTACTCACTCACTCAGTCACTATAACAATGGTCCTGCAACCATCGGTATGCTCAATGCAGGGTGTGATACAATGGCACACCTATATAGTGTATCAGAGCCATGAACAAGTTATTGCCATGACAGGTAGTTGTGTTGGATGGTATTGTCCCATTGCAAATATCAAAGAAACTGCTGCACAGTGTTATGTTTATCATTATCATTAATTGTCTGCACAAACTTGCGCTTTATCAGAGGCCAAGATAAGCTGCGTATCCGGGTAAAATACGCATAGAAAATTTTCAATTACGCATTGAAAAATAATTGTTGCGTACCAATTTCGCATTTAAACTGTTAGATACGCAAAGAGTTTACAACAAATGCGTACGGAATATACTTATAAAAATCGCTCGCGTAATGAAATAGACATCGATTGCTATCAATTTGTACTGTTAGTATAGGACAAGTGTTGTACTGTCAGTATAAGATGAGTGATTTTTTATGAAATCATTTCCCTTATATTTAAGTTGGTTTTGAGTAGGTATGACATAAGGCAGAACATACCTGCTTAGTAAACTTACTCAATGACACAATACTTAGGTAGGTAAAATGACTGAAATACGCACATATTTCAAAGCAGTGGGTAACGGAAAATGAAATACCCACTCAACATTCATAATACCCACTCCAAAAAAGTACAGTGGGTACAGTACCCACATTAGCTAAATCTTATCTGGAGCTCTGCTTTATACTATAATGTGTTATGTGAGTGACACATGTGACAAGGGAGATAACTCTGGTCGCTATGTATTGCAGACACAATGGGAATATCCTGCTGGATTCAGAGGGTCACATTGTCCACATCGACTTTGGGTTCATCCTGTCCAGCTCTCCAGGGAAAAATCTGGGCTTTGAGAACTCACCATTTAAACTCACACACGAGTTTGTTGAGGTAACACATTGTCATACATTTACAATATAACAAGCAATGCTGATCTGAATAACAAAGTCTCCTTAATCCTTCTTTGCCTTTACAAGTGCTGCTTTTAAATCTGAAATATCTTTGGCTGAAAAATATTTACTGTATTGACATGAGACTAGCGATGTATCCATGTGAAATTTATAGGATGGGGTCGGGTAAAGGATGGGTGGCAGTTGTTTTTGTTTTTCTGTTAATTTTTACTATTTACACAAAAATTGTGTTGTTTGGATATTTTCTACATATCATATATTTTCCAAACTATCAATTTTGGTCATCACTGTCAACAAGCTGTTACTTGTGGACCTCCTCCTGGACAGTGTTTGAAAGTGTATGTGTTACTGTGTGCAGGTGATGGGCGGTCTGGGTAGTGACATGTTCGAGTACTTCAAGATCCTGCTGCTGCAAGGCTTCTGTGTGTCCAGGAAGCACATGGACAAGATCCTGCCCATCGTGGAGATCATGCAGACAGGTAGGGGAGAACATAGGGAAATAGTGCAAGGCATTTTAGAATATAAACATCTGATCCTTATTTAGATAATAACCATTGACTTTGTAAAACCCAAGGATATTCATTGCTAGAACCAGCTGTTCCTTATTAAGAAAGGTATGGTACTGTATGGATGACAGCTTCTGTATTTCGGTATAGACTCTTGCTTGATAACGGTATAAGAATCTATACCGAAACATTGCATCATGATATAATAAAGAAGTTGTTATCAAAAAGTATCATACCTTTGTTGTCATTCATCAAATTTTAAAATGCCAATCAAACAGATCATTCCTTATTAACACAAGCAAGATTTTCCATTTTACCCTAATCAAACCATTTAATGTATAAGCCGCTTACAGGGAAATAAGCTTTAAATGGGTTCTTGTTGTTGATGTTGTTGTTGATGTTGTTGAGTATAGATTCTTATACTGTTGTCAAGCAAGACTCTAGCTTGACAAGAATCTATGGTGGTGGTGGTACTTGGTGTGGTGGGTGTTGTTGATGATGTTGGTGGTGGTGGGTGTTGTTGATGATGTTGTTGGTTGTGTGTGTTGTTGTTGTGGTACTTGGTGTTGTGGTTGATGTTGTTGTGGTGGTGGGTGTTGTTGATGATGGTGGTCTGTTGTTGTGGTACTGGGTGTTGTGGTTGATGTTGGTGGTGGTGGGTGTTGTTGATGATGTTGTTGGTTGTGTGTGTTGTTGTTGTGGTTGATGTTGTTGTGGTGGTGGGTGTTGTTGATGATGGTGGTCTGTTGTTGTTGTGGTACTGGGTGTTGTGGTTGATGTTGGTGGTGGTGGGTGTTGTTGATGATGATGTTGCTGGTGGTGTGTGTTGTTGTTGTGGTACTGGGTGTTGTGGTTGATGTTGTTGATAGTGCGTGTTGTTGGTGGTGGGTGTTGTTGATGATGTTGGTGTGGTGGGTGTTGTTGTTGATGTTGGTGGTGGTGGGTGTTGTTGATAATGATGTTGTTGGTGGTGTGTGTTGTTGTGGTACTGGGTGTTGTGGTTGATGTTGGTGGTGGTGGGTGTTGTTGATGATGATGTTATTGGTGGTACTGGGTGTTGTGGTTGATGTTGGTGGTACTGGGTGTTGTTGATGATGGTGGTGGTGGTGGGTGTTGTTGTTGATGTTGGTGGTGGTGGTGGTGGGTGTTGTTGTTATATTGGTCAGCATTCTATGAGGACTGTATTTGTTGCAGGGTCCCAGCTGCCGTGTTTCAGCAAGGGGGTCAGCACGGTGCGGGCGCTGAAGGATCGCTTCCACTTGAACCTGACCGAGGAACAGCTGCAGCTGCTGGTGGACAACTTGGTGGAGTCCAGTCTCCACTCACTCACTACCAAACTCTACGACGGCTTCCAATACTTCACCAATGGCATCCTCTGAAGCAACAACCAATGACAGCGAATCTTACAAATACCAGAAGATGCAGATTCCGTGTTAACAAGCATTACTAGTCTTCAGTGAATCAGAATTTAAACAATAGAACTGGTTCATTTACACCCGAGTTGTCATACTGTGAGAGCTGGTGTTCAGTAGAGAAGGGACTCTTAAATCAACATCAAGGATGGGTGTTCCGAAGAGGAAGAGCTGGTGTTCTAGCATGGAGCTGTTAGCAGAGGAACAGTCGGTGTTCAGCCGAAGAATATGAGTGTTCAGCAGAGGAACAGTCAGTGTTCCGCACAGGAAAATACAGGGAACCTGAGCGGGAGGTTTGGTAGCATGGCATTTGGATGTTCCTGTGAGAAAGAATCATGCCAAGTGTATAATAACAAATATATGATGAAGTGACGCTGTGATTTTCTTCCAGGAAAGTGTGGGTGATTCAGAGAATCTGGTGACCATAACCATTGTCAAGTGTATCGACCTTTCTTTGTCAACTTCTGTGGCAAGAGCTATTTCATCTCATCTGTTGTGGATATGTAGAATAAAACACCTTCAGCTTCTCATCTGTAGATATCATAAGATCATCAAATTTGGCATCACTGTACCAAATAATTGAATAATGTCTCCCAATATCAATTATGTTGTGACTGTCTTCTGAGCATGATGGACAAATGATGCGTATTCCCAGAAAGGATGTTTGTGTACCGTGAACAATGATGGGGACTAAGTACCTATCTCTGTATCTTTGATCCAGACATTGGACAGGAAGGATTCACCATAATGGTACGCTGTGAATGAGATTCCTTTCCATTGATGCTGTAAACCCCAAATGGTTTCTAATACTTTTCACAACTGATGTTGGAGCAACGACAACTCTCATGTGTTAGAACATGCTTTTGTGAGGATGAGAAAGGTAATCTGTGAATGAATAGTCTTCAACAACGATTCACAGATTACCACGGTAATGACATGTCCGATCAGGACTGGCCACGACTTTAGACATCCATATTGAGGATGTGCTACAGGCACAAAAGAGGGTAGAAGAACTATGGATGTGTTAGTCCTTGTTCGTCATTTGATTCCACATTGAACCACAGGCCATTCAGGGTTACCATGTGCTGTGTATATATGTCTGACTGTACATCATGATGTGTGGTGCATCAGCTGTTGTGTACTACCATGTATAAATGTACCCCGTGGACTATGTCACATTGTTTAGATTCAAAATGGCTCTCTTGTCAATTGTGCTACTCACTCATACATTTTTAACAATCATGGTGATGCATTCATAATTTATTATCCCAACACTATAGTCATGCTCTCACATTTGAGCACAGCAGGTATGGAGAGTTCTTGTTGGATATTGTTTATACAATTTTGTGGGACATATTTCACCATCCTCACAAATTGATTGATGGTGTTCAAGCTGAAAACATGTTGGTTGCCGCTTTGCCTGTAAGGTGTCACGGCAGTCGAAAATATGTGAGGCACACTTTCTGATCTTGTCTCTCTCTTACACGCAGTAGGATTAAATGGCATATATTTTTTCTATTATCCTTCATCATTAGAGCTATTTTTTACCTCCATGTGAAGATTCATCGTTCGATAATCATTAATTGTCTTATGTGTTTCTGATCACTGTGATTGTCATTGTGTCAGTGGTTGTCAGTGATATTGGACTCTGTACTTCTGTGTGGTTATTTATCAACACTCTGTCATCTGTCTCCTTGTACATATAGTGGAAGTACAGTACAGTACTTTCAGGACAGAATCAGTATTTTCTCAAGCAACCTTGCATGTTTCAGATCCTGGGTAAGGACAACAGCAAAGTCGATTGTCTAGTGTAAATGTTAAGTATAGAATTAAATTAAGATTTTTACAAATTCAGCCATATTTAGCATGCTTTGCCTGCATTCTGTTCTCTTAGGCTTTACACTAACTTTCTGTCAAATAGGCTTAAGTTCTCTCTCGACCTTACCTTCTTCACATTCAGTCTAATATGCTTGAAATCTACATTCACTTTAAAAGATTTATTGCTTTTACTCTATTCTGAATTTGCCTTTATTTATGCACCAAGCATTCATCCAGGCATTTTTTATTGGCTCAGTGGCTAGTGATGAAATTTAGACAATATGTCACTGCAGATTAGTGATTTGGATGAATGAATATATTCACTGAAAGGGTAACAAACTTTCAACATGTCTTATATTTCAGGATTGCCAAATTGCAGGATTTCTGTTGAAGCTTTACTGTGTTTTTGTCACATCGTGCTAGTCATGCCCCAGCCAATGCAATACATTGAGAGACAGGAATAGAGAGAAAGAGGGAGAGAATGAATGTGCGCCAACGAATCAGATGCTTTGTTGCTTCTGACAAATATGCATTATCGCCAAAGGTCACATGTAAATATGAGCATCTTACTTAACATTCTTATAACTGATACCTTAATGGATACATTAGGGGAAATCTCAAAACATTTTGGGACGACTTTCCAACTGTGGACTGCTGGTTTGGTGTTCTGTGGAATTGGTCTGATCTGAGTTGTTAGGTTTAGTCTAACTGCAATATGTGTCATTAAGTCGATGTCTTTTGGAGAAACAGTACAAAAGGTTTTGAGATGGTCCCTGTTGCATGTACAGCAATTGATGTCGTGTTTGTTGAGTAGTCCACTGGAATGAGCTGGTTTAACATGTAATGAAGGGTGAGACAAGCATGTGGTGTATCTAAAGACACAGACTGAACATGCTCTTTGATGTGAGAGGCAGTGCAATAAAAATGTGGCATTAATGAAATTATCAGACTGCAGCACAAAGGGGAGTGTCCAAGTAGTGTAATGTATGTGGGAGTGACGTCATGCACAGCAAGAGGGACATTCTCATGAATTTTAAACTTGTTATGTTTTCCAGTTTATCATCATGATCATGTTTCTTTTTCATTTTTATTAACATGTTGACACCTACCAGTGAATATGGGGAGTTGTCCAGTCATTGTGAATATTTCATTGATGTCATTTCTGGTGTATTGTCGTTTTAACTGTAAGCAGCTGCAACCCCCTACAAATAAACAGAATCGAAAAGCAGAACATAAGATAATATGTCCTAGAGTTTCTTAATCAGTCTTAATCATTTTGACATGATATATGATTGGCATAACATGGAAATTTGATCATATCAAGGTTGTTTTTAATTAGTTCCTTTTGAATGTCAGTTTAAGTATGCATGCAATCTCTGGATCTAACTTAGAATGTTGAAGGCCAAAAATATGGCTTCGAGTCTAAAGTAGATGTCATAAAAGTTCCCTAAGTGAGATTAGAACTTTCAGAGTGAGCTTTTTATGACTGCAAGTTATTTTCCTGATGAAAGGAGAAGGAAATACTTGATAACTAGGTTTTGCACTGAATGCGATGGTAATATGCTTCTGAAATTAGTGATATGGATTTTTGCAAAAATACCATGTTCTGACAAAATATTTATATTGGGCATTTCTTCTAAATTTGTCTCTAAGCAACCATGGTGACAGTTAGATATCAAAGAAGAGTACCTAGTCCATCAAGATAGTTTGACAACTGCATATGAACAGAATACTGCTATATCATCCCGTTTGTATTTTATTTCTGCACTTTATTTGACATCCACCCATAATCCTTCTCTACCATTGAAACTAATTTTATTAATCAGTGTCACAGTCTATCGTAAGCATTTTATAGACTGATAACATCTATCATGAGACAAGACTTTCCTGTTAAACTGTAGTCATATTGACCTATTGATGAAAGAAAATTATGAAATACATATACTAGTACTGCTCTGGTAGCCATTATGTCCAAGAGGTAGCTGTTTGTTGTGTTGCCATTGCCGCCATCTCATTTAACTGTACATTGCCAAGTTTTAACTGTAAATATTACATGATGCTCAAATATTATTTATGAATAAAACAAATGAAAGATGAAAATGTTTAGTTTTGTGGATTTTTATTAGAAAAGTTCATTCCTGTCAGAAGGCCGATGTTCAGAAGATGTTAAGACTGGAAGGATTCAGCCTTAGAGAATGGCTGTCTGGACTGACCTGGTTTAGTGTTTCCAGGGAACAAAACTACAATTCAAGCTTTACACATTATTTACAGCACATGGCAAATAGATACATTACATTCAGTCATAGCTGACACGTTTCAAACATATATTCGAAATTTACACATTTCTCTAACTCTCTCAGTTTGTCTCTGAAAACTGTTACACATTATTCAAGTTGCAGAAGAGATTTTACACAGCAGTGCATTGAAAAGTAGAAGGCTCTTATACTTCAGTACCATTTTTGAAAGCAAGAACTTGGTGAAAAAAACATTCTTGTCAACAATGTTTTGTTGGAACAACACGTCCAGAACCACTTCAATTGTTTGACACCTTTCTGACATACAAAGAACAATTGATTTTACCACTCCAATCTGATGCATAATGCGTAACATTTTGGAATGGGTTGCCATTCACACTGTTCATGCTTCTCCATAAAAATCATCATCAACCTCCTTGCCATACATTATGAGGTCAGAATATCAGTTGGCACCTAATGTAGTACAGATCATTACATAGTTCCGTATAGCAGGACAGATCATTACATAGTTCCGTGTAACAGGACAGATCATTACGTAGTTCCGTGTAGCAGGACAGATCATTACATAGTTCGTGTAGCAGGACAGATCATTATGTAGTTCCGTGTAGCAGGACAGATCATTACATAGCTCCGTGTAGCAGGACAGATCATTACATATTTTAGTGCAGCAGTACAGATCATTACGTAGCTCCGTGTAGCAGGACAGATCGTGACATAGTTCCATGTAGCAGGACAGACCATTACATAGTTCCGTATAGCAGGACAGATAATTACATAGTTCCGTGTAGCAGGACAGATCATTACATAGTTATGTGTAGCAGGACAGATCATTACATAGTTCCTTGTATCAGGACAGATCATTATGTAGTTCCGTGTAGCAGGACAGATAATTACATAGTTCCTTGTATCAGGACAGATCATTATGTAGTTCCGTGTAGCAGGACAGATAATTACATAGTTCCTTGTAGCAGGACAGATCATTACATAGTTCCGTGTAGCAGGACAGATCATTACATAGTTATGTGTAGCAGGACAGATCATTACATAGTTCTTTGTAGCAGGACAGATCATTAGGTAGTTTAGTGTAGCAGGACTGATAATTACATAGTTCCGTATAGCAGGACAGATAATTACATAGCTCCGTGTAGCAGGACAGATCATTACATAGTTATGTATAGCAGGACAGATCATTACATAGTTCCATGTAGCAGGACAGATCATTACATAGTTCCATGTAGCAGGACAGATCATTACATAGTTCCGTGTAGCAGGACAGATCATTACATAGTTCCGTATAGCAGGACAGATAATTACATAGCTCCGTGTAGCAGGACAGATCATTACATAGTTATGTATAGCAGGACAGATAATCACATAGTTCAGTGTAGCAGGACAGATCATTACATAGTTCCATGTAGCAGGACAGATCATTACATAGTTCCGTGTAGCAGGACAGATCATTACATAGTTCCGTGTAGCAGGACAGATCATTACGTAGTTCCATGTAGCAGGACAGACCATTACGTAGTTCCGTGTAGCAGGACAGATCATTACATAGTTCCATGTATCAGGACAGACCATTACATAGTTCCGTGTAGCAGGACAGATCATTACATAGTTCCGTGTAGCAGGACAGATCATTACGTAGTTATGTGTAGCAGGACAGATCATTACATAGTTCCGTATAGCAGGACAGATCATTACATAGTTCCATGTAGCAGGACAGATCATTACATAGTTCCGTATAGCAGGACAGATCATTACATAGTTCCGTGTAGCAGGACAGATCATTACATAGCTCCGTATAGCAGGACAGCTCATTACATAGTTCCATGTAGCAGGACTGATCATTACATAGTTCCGTATAGCAGGACAGATCATTACATAGTTCCGTGTAGCAGGACAGATCATTACATAGTTCAGTGTAGCAGGACAGATCATTACATAGTTCCGTGTAGCAGGACAGATCATTACATAGTTCCGTGTAGCAGGACAGACCATTACATAGTTCCATGTAGCAGGACAGATCATTACATAGTTCCGTGTAGCAGGACAGATCATTACATAGTTCCGTATAGCAGGACAGATCATTACGTAGTTCCGTGTAGCAGGACAGACCATTACATAGTTCCATGTAGCAGGACAGATCATTACATAGTTCTGTGTAGTAGGACAGATCATTACATAGTTCCATGTAGCAGGACAGATCATTACATAGCTCCGTGTAGCAGGACAGATCATTACATAGTTATATGTAGCAGGACAGATCATTACATAGTTCCATGTAGCAGGACAGACCATTACGTAGTTCCGTGTCGCAGGACAGATCATTACGTAGTTCCGTATAGCAGGACAGATCATTACATAGTTCCATGTAGCAGGACAGATCATTACATAGTTCCATGTAGCAGGACAGATCATTACATAGTTCCGTATAGCAGGACAGATCATTACATAGTTCCGTGTAGCAGGACAGATCATTACATAGTTATGTGTAGCAGGACAGATCATTACATAGCTCCATGTAGCAGGACCGACCATTACATAGTTCCGTGTAGCAGGACAGATCATTACATAGTCCCGTATAGCAGGACAGATCATTACATAGTTCCGTGTAGCAGGACAGACCATTACATAGTTCCGTGTAACAGGACAGATCATTACATAGTTCCGTATAGCAGGACAGATCATTACATAGTTTCGTGTAGCAGGACAGATCATTACATAGTTCCGTATAGCAGGACAGATCATTACATAGTTCCATGTAGCAGGACAGATCATTACATAGTTCCATGTTGCAGGACAGATCATTACATAGTTCTGTGTAACAGGACAGATCATTACATAGTTCCATGTAGCAGGACAGATCATTACGTAGCTCCGTATAGCAGGACAGATCATTACGTAGTTCCGTGTAGCAGGACAGATCATTACATAGTTCCATGTAGCAGGACAGACCATTACATAGTTCCGTATAGCAGGACAGATCATTACATAGTTCCATGTAGCAGGACAGATCATTACATAGTTCCGTGTAGCAGGACAGATCATTACATAGTTATGTGTAGCAGGACAGATCATTATATAGTTCCATGTAGCAGGACAGATCATTACATAGTTCCGTGTAGCAGGACAGACCATTACGTAGTTCCGTGTAGTAGGACAGATCATTACGTAGTTCCGTATAGCAGGACAGATCATTACATAGTTCCGTGTAGCAGGACAGATCATTACATAGCTCCGTGTAGCAGGACAGACCATTACATAGTTCTGTGTAGCAGGACAGATCATTACATAGTTCCGTGTAGCAGGACAGATCATTACATAGTTCCGTGTAGCAGGACAGACCATTACATAGTTCCGTGTAGCAGGACAGATCATTACATAGTTCTGTGTAGCAGGACAGATCATTACATAGTTCCGTATAGCAGGACAGTCCATTATATAGTTCCGTGTAGCAGGACAGACCACTACATAGTTCCATGTAGCAGGACAGATCATTACATAGTTCCGTATAGCAGGACAGATCATTACATAGTTCCGTGTAGCAGGACAGCTCATTACATAGTTCCATGTAGCAGGACTGATCATTACATAGTTCCGTATAGCAGGACAGATCATTACATAGTTCCGTGTAGCAGGACAGATCATTACATAGTTCAGTGTAGCAGGACAGATCATTACATAGTTCCGTGTAGCAGGACAGATCATTACATAGTTCCGTGTAGCAGGACAGACCATTACATAGTTCCATGTAGCAGGACAGATCATTACATAGTTCCGTGTAGCAGGACAGATCATTACATAGTTCCGTATAGCAGGACAGATCATTACGTAGTTCCGTGTAGCAGGACAGACCATTACATAGTTCCATGTAGCAGGACAGATCATTACATAGTTCTGTGTAGTAGGACAGATCATTACATAGTTCCATGTAGCAGGACAGATCATTACATAGCTCCGTGTAGCAGGACAGATCATTACATAGTTATATGTAGCAGGACAGATCATTACATAGTTCCATGGAGCAGGACAGACCATTACGTAGTTCCGTGTCGCAGGACAGATCATTACGTAGTTCCGTATAGCAGGACAGATCATTACATAGTTCCATGTAGCAGGACAGATCATTACATAGTTCCGTATAGCAGGACAGATCATTACATAGTTATATGTAGCAGGACAGATCATTACATAGTTCCATGTAGCAGGACAGATCATTACATAGTTCCGTATAGCAGGACAGATCATTACATAGTTCCGTGTAGCAGGACAGATCATTACATAGTTATGTGTAGCAGGACAGATCATTACATAGCTCCATGTAGCAGGACCGACCATTACATAGTTCCGTGTAGCAGGACAGATCATTACATAGTCCCGTATAGCAGGACAGATCATTACATAGTTCCGTGTAGCAGGACAGATCATTACATAGTTCCGTGTAACAGGACAGATCATTACATAGTTCCGTGTAGCAGGACAGATCATTACATAGTTCCGTGTAGCAGGACAGATCATTACATAGTTCCGTATAGCAGGACAGATCATTACATAGTTCCGTGTAGCAGGACAGATCATTACATAGTTCCATGTAGCAGGACAGATCATTACATAGTTCCGTGTAGCAGGACAGATCATTACATAGTTCCGTGTAGCAGGACAGATCATTACATAGTTCTGTGTAGCAGGACAGATCATTACATAGTTCCGTATAGCAGGACAGTCCATTATATAGTTCCGTGTAGCAGGACAGACCATTACATAGTTCCATGTAGCAGGACAGATCATTACATAGTTCCGTGTAGCAGGACAGATCATTACATAGTTCCGTGTAGCAGGACAGATCATTACATAGTTCCGTGTAGCAGGACAGCTCATTACATAGTTCCATGTAGCAGGACAGATCATTACATAGTTCCGTGTAGCAGGACAGATCATTACATAGTTCCGTGTAGCAGGACAGATCATTACATAGTTCCGTGTAGCAGGACAGATCATTACATAGTTCCGTATAGCAGGACAGATCATTACATAGTTCCCGTAGCAGGACAGACCATTACATAGTTCCATGTAGCAGGACAGATCATTACATAGTTCCGTGTAGCAGGACAGATCATTACATAGTTCCGTGTAGCAGGACAGACCATTACATAGTTCCGTGTAGCAGGACAGACCATTACATAGTTCCGTGTAGCAGGACAGATCATTACATAGTTCCGTGTAGCAGGACAGATCATTACATAGCTCCGTGTAGCAGGACAGACCATTACATAGTTCCGTGTAGCAGGTAGCAGGGACAGATCATTACATAGTTCCGTGTAGCAGGACAGACCATTACATAGTTCCGTGTAGCAGGACAGATCATTACATAGTTCTGTGTAGCAGGACAGACCATTACATAGTTCCGTATAGCAGGACAGTATAGTTCCGTGTAGCAGGACAGACCATTACATAGTTCCGTGTTGCAGGACAGACCATTACATAGTTCTGTGTAGCAGGACAGATCATTACATAGTTCCGTATAGCAGGACAGACCATTACATAGTTCCGTGTAGCAGGACAGACCATTACATAGTTCCGTGTAGCAGGACAGATCATTACATAGTTCTGTATAGCAGGACAGACCATTACATAGTTCCGTGTAGCAGGACAGACCATTACATAGTTCCATGTAGCAGGACAGATCATTACGTAGTACCTACTATCAAGGCAGATCAATACATGGCTCCTAGTATCAGGGCAGATCGACACATGACTTCTAGTGTCCTGCCTAACCTCTGGTGTCAAGACATATACTTTTATTCGAGTGGGTAGCTGGGTAATCTGCTTAGGCAGCTACGTGAGATACCCAGTACAAACGTGGACAGCATGACGTACGGAACCAACTATGGAATGGTCTTCCCCCTTGCACCATGAACAATAGCATTTTGTACCCAATGGCACCATGAAGTTTAGAACTGTGTACCCTATGGATTCCACAGATGTCGAAGTGTTCCTCTTGGTGGTGTGTCTTCCACAGCAGAAGAAGTCGTGACGATTTCAAATCTGTCATGCAATGTTTGAGACAACTTTCTCTTTGACTGAATGATAGAAATGCATAACCAGCATCTTCCTTTGCTATCACATAATATACAGAACAGAGAAACGCTAGTATAGAAAACTGGTTTAATTTGACAGATTTATCATGGTGATGTATATCATGGCAATGTATATCCTGGCGATGTATATCATGGTGATGTATATCATGGTGATGTATATCATGGTGATGTATATCATGGCGATATATATCATGGTGATGTATATCATGGCGATATATATCATGGCGATGTATATCCTGGCGATGTATATCATGTCGATGTATATCCTGGCGATGTATATCATGGCAATATATATCATTGGGATGTATATATATTTTATGAGTTTCACTTATTTTATGTTCATAAATGTTAACAGAATCACCTTGTGCAAATCTCAGGTATTTGCCTCTATCAACATTACACACTATGTATCTGTTTGTGAGTAACTTTCCTTCAAAAGACCAAGTACATTGTTCATAAACCTGCCAGTATTTATTTCCGTCGCATATAGCGACTCTCTGAGCAACGCGAGGTAATAATGCTATACCCCAAACCCTCTAACTGGTCCCGTCCCAGAGTCGTGGAACACAACCTCCCACAGATCATGGTTCATATGCTTCATCAGTACCACAACCTTCCGCTACTTAGTTGCTCCTTCTTTGACGTCATCTTCTTGTGTTGCTGCGGATCTGTAGAACAACGACGCAGCGCCGAAGATGACGGTGACCACCATTAGGATCCCACTCATGAGAAAAAACAGGTACTCTGCGTGACACGTGTTCAGATCATCAGACAGCCAGGGATCTGAAATAGTGACAGTGTCAAGTTCTTCAGATACCCCGTGGCCTAAAACTGTGACATTGTTTCGTCTATCAGATAACCAGGGCCTGAACAGCGTGAATAGTTCATCAGGTAAGTACAGATGTGAAACAATGACAGTGTCTAGTTCACCAGATAACGACTGAGATATTCTTCTATTCTACTATTACCATTGTGTGTAGCAGCGTTGACAGCAGCGAGTATCCCTGTGCCAATGTAGTTCCCCACGCCAAACAGAGCCAGCACAGCACCTTGCATCATGCCCTGCATGGACGGGGGCAACTGAGTGAATCCCAATTCAAACGCTGCAATGTATTCACATTATGTGAACATCTTGAGTCTATTTATTCACAGTGAACAAACCAATAAACGCCAAAAAAATAATAATTTCAAATATTCATTTGTATGGATGACTTTTGCTTGGTTGAAAATACTCCTGTGAAAGCTATACGTCATGTTTTGTGTGTGTCTGAGCCTAAAGCATCGCTTACTTTTTCCACGAACTCCTGGAGTCATCACTAATTTTCAGTGATCAATCCATATATTTTTTACGATGACGTTATATATCATGTATATACCAATGAACGCATGTAACTTTTATTATTATAGTCATAGTTTCACTATACCTGGTACAAAAGTGAAGACCTCACTCACTCCACCGATGAAAATCTGAGGAGCTTGCAGAAACATTGTATAGTGGGACGAATTGAAGTTCTTTCCCCCTAGTGTCTGAATCATACCACCAGAGGTTGCGATCTCTCGCTTCCGGTAGATTTCAACCACCCCACTGACAATAATACCGATCATTGCAATGATCATCCCGGTACCTGCAATAGGAGTTTGTTTTAAGGCGGTTTTCAACAGTATTATACCACTGGGTGGCAACAGGACGAGAAATATGCCATGAGCCAGACAATTTTTCGGTACCACTCAGAGGGACCAAACACTTTTATGTTTTTAAAGTTGTTTTGGTCTCTACATATAATAAATGTATGATGGCCATGTCGGTTTGGTGGTTCAAACTCAGAACGAGGCTAAATCCAAATGGCCGCCAAGAAACCCCCAAACCTTAAAAATGTCAATTCCAAGCACTGATACTGTCAGTTCTTTTTGAGGCAAAGGGAAGGTCAAAGCATTCAAACTTCTTGTCAACATCAAAGAATATCAAGAGGCTTTCCAACAACTTGTGAATGAGTGGACTATGCCACCAGGTTTGATTGACTCACTTCAAGCATTCAAACGTATTCGCCTGTCCGCCTCAGGTTCTCAAATATGGGATGTCAATCAATTGCTCTACCACGTATTTGAAGTGAGAAAAGAGGCAATTGAATCAGGACAATTGCCACCCTCCTTTGATTGTCTATCTATGCACATCCTGAGAGCAAATTATTAAGCTGAAGCTGAATATCCAACTTCACGGGCAACAGATGGTCATGGATGGGTGGAAGAAAATGGTCACATAGAGATTTGCTGGATGACAGGACCTGTTTTTCCAGATGCTGTTCTTGAGTTCATTTCTTGCAAGTGCACAACAGTCTGTAAGCTGCCAAGTTGTCAATGCCTTACCAATGGACTGTGATATGTCAGAACCAGACTTGTGACAACATGGTATGCGAGGACCATGACATGCCAAGGAGTGACACTGATGATGATGCAGCTGATGTTTATAATGCGGAACAGTGACTATCACTAACCAACTCAAGGAACTTGAAGGTGTTCTCACTCTTTGAAATCAAAGAGCAGTCTTCAGAATAAATAAAATGATGAGTTTTCGAAAAAGCTCTTTGAAGTTCCAATTTTGACTCTTACAAAATCCGGAAACGATATGATTTAAAGGTATCAAATAACACAACTTGATATAAATTAAATCTTTGTTATCATGTTTGCACTATTTTACCTCCCTTTTTTCATTTCAAACCTATTTGTTGAACTTTACTCACGATTAGAGCTTGGAACTGACATTTTTTTTAAAGTTTTGGGTTTTTTGGCGGCCATCTTGGATTTAGCCTCGTTCTGAGTTTGAGCTACCAAACTGACATGGCCATCATACATTTTGATATGTAGAGACATATAGGAATATAAAACACTAAAACTTTTGGTCCCTCTGAGTGGTACCAATATGTCAAATTTCAGCTCCTGGCTCATGGCCTAAAAGGAACGAACGAGACAGATCAGTTCTTGGACGTTCTTTATCAACATTTGTATGGCGCTCACAAAGAAAGAATTATTACGAGTACGAATTTGGGATCCAAGAATTTCTTGTATGCCTTTGAGGTGCATCTCTGCACAGCAACTTGTGGCGTAGAATGAGCGAACACTCATGGACACAAATGTTGCCATTCCAGAAAGTGCAAAGACAATATCATGGCTATAGTGCCACAATCCTGAAAGCGGATGTCCTACCAATCCTCTTGAGAAGCGTGAAGGGGCGACCGATCCGCTCCATACAGGGTAGAGGACTCGGTCCACGAAGGGGATGAAGATGAGGACTGCGATAGTGTTGAGTATCCCTATAGCTGCCACCGGGATGGCGAAGTTGCCGACTTTGACGTCCATCCCCAGTGACTGGAGGTACGTTATAGATTGGGCCTGTTGAACAAGACCTCTTACTGATGATTAATCTTCATGCCACCCGTTAAATATTCATACATCTGTCCAGTATTTTTACAAAGCATTTTGATATATTTGATGCGAAAATGCAACACTAGGTATCAACAGGTTACAACAGGTTAAATCATTAAGGTCAGCATCTCGAGATCATCTAGAATGCTGTCTTGGAATTGTAATGATAAAATACGCCTCATCATTTGAGTAGTATAAATTTTGAAGTAAAGTCTTGTTATACGCCTCGATTGTATAGCGCTAAATGGACATTGTTCAGCTGTTGGCCATAGTAAGTAATACAAATACTGTGGTTCTGAGAATACCTGAAAGTAGCAGGCGGCAAATCCCGCGACTGGGAGGAGAAGGAGTATCAGTTTGCCAAAGGCAATTACCCCTGACACAGTTTCGTCGTCATAGCTACCACCGAAGCGTTTCCTTGCAGACCGAAAGAATGACTGCCCATTGCCTCTCCTTTTGACCGCTTCGACAACAACACCCAATGCAAGTTTCACGGAGCTCTCTGAAATTCATAGAAACGCTGCCATCACACTACAGAACTATTTAGTCCCCGGAATCAAGATATATACAAATTATCTACAGATTATACAGTAAAGTGTGTATAGAGCCATAACAGTTTTGAAATTCTGTCCACTTTAAGTAAATTTGGCACCTCCCATTGCCCCCTTCTCACTTATTCTCGACCTTTTGTTTTACACTAATCCATTTGGTATTGTATTTGTATTGAATCGTAGCCACGTACCTGCCGGCTACGCCTTGGCTCAGTGTACGACTATTACGACTATTTCAAGAAGCAGTATAAAAACTCCGGTGTTTAGGTCAAAACATTCATCCAGGTGTTTAAATCAGCAGTATCGACGTCCAGGTAGGTCGGTCAGCAGTATCGACGTCCAGGTAGGTCGGTCAGCAGTATCGACGTCCAGGTAGGTCGGTCAGCGGTATCGACGAGGTAGGTCGGTCAGCAGTATCGACGTCCAGGTAGGTCGGTCAGCAGTATCGACGTCCAGGTAGGTCGGTCAGCAGTATCGACGTCCAGGTAGGTCGGTCAGCAGTATCGACGTCCAGGTAGGTCGGTCAGCAGTATCGACGTCCAGGTAGGTCGGTCAGCAGTATCGACGTCCAGGTAGGTCGGTCAGCAGTATCGACGTCCAGGTAGGTCGGTCAGCAGTATCGACGTCCAGGTAGGTCGGTCAGCAGTATCGACGTCAGGTAGGTCGGTCAGCAGTATCGACGTCTAGGTAGGTCAGTCAGCAGTATCGACGTCCAGGTAGGTCGGTCAGCAGTATCGACGTCCAGGTAGGTCAGTCAGCAGTATCGACGTCCAGGTAGGTCGGTCAGTAGTGTCAATGCCCAGATAGTCAGTCAGTAGTGTCAATGCCCAGATATTTCCGGCACTCGGGTATTTCAAACCACAGTGTCACCCAGGTATACTCATGGAAACGAATAAGGGAACACATGGAAGTACAAGTGTTCCTTTATTTATTTCCAGAATTTCACCCACAGTGCAATACATCCTTGTGAAGAAACCTGGAAAAGAATAAAGGAACACTTGTACTTTCATGTGTTCCCTTACTCGTTTCATGGCCAGCATTGTCGCTACCCAGGTATTCATGTCATCACAGTTGATACCCAGGTATTCAGAGACCGCCTCCGTGGTGTAGTGGTTAGAGCGTCCGCCCGGAGAGCGGAAGGTCGCGGGTTCGATCCCCGACCGCGTCATACCAAAAGACGTTAGATATGGTAGTTACTAGGTCCCCACCTGGCCCTCGGCATTAATAGGTACAACAAGGACTGGTCGGCTGAGTCAGTATAATGAATCCGGGGTATTCTATGCTTCACATGCGGCATGGTACAGTGGGCTAGCACTATAAAACCAGCTTCAGTCTCGGCTAGTACAAGCAGCCGCACATACACATACACACGCATGCACGTCGTGATATGAGCGAAATATTCTCAGGCACGACGTAAAACACAATTTCACCTCACCTCACCAGGTATTCAGACAACAGTTACTGCAACACCCTGTAAGATCTGACCCAATGAATCCGGCTAGCCCATCCGTACATGAGAACTACATGACAAAATGATACCGATGAATTGCAATCTAACACAAAAACAAATAGACATAAAAAATCAAACCAACGCGGACTGCAATGAAAACAACAGACCAACTCTAGTAAAAAATTGCATAATTTTTGTCACAAAAATAAAAAAGTAGTTTAAGAAACTGTCATCATTTATTTGTGCGTTTTCCAAGTTTGTTACAAGGGCGCATTGGCAACTAAAGGAAAAGCGAGATGCACGTGCTTTAACGGGTTCTCAACAAATTTTTGAGCTGGCGAGATGACACGTACCCTAGCTGCACAAGCAGTGCGCTGTATGTACTTAGTAATTGCATACTTGGGTAACCCCCTGTCATTTTCATCCTTGAAGAAATCATAGACTTTGTAAATTGTAGACTTTCATTTTCTGTCACTTTGTCAATCAGCAGTAATCACATGTCTCTGACGTCACTAATGCACGTGCATCTCGCTTTTCGCTTTTTTAGAGTTGGTCTGTTGTTTTCATTGCAGTCCGCGTTGGTTTGATTCTTTTATGTCTATTTTTGTGTGTGTTAGATTGCAATTCATCGGTATCATTTTATCACAAACGGACTATATCTATTAATACCACACTGGTATGATCACTTAGATTACGACATTACTCCAAAGACTCCCTCGGACCACCAGGGTTCCACAACAGCGCAGCCGGTGAGCTCACCTCCAGGCGAAATGTGTCTGTAGAGACCCCGAGTCCCCACAAACAGCAAGAGGCTTGTTATCATGGAAATGAGAGGTATGACGTAGCCCCATGTGAAGCTGATGTTCTGCTGCACGTAGGCGACGGCTGTGAAGGCAACTGTGCTGCCCACGTTGATGAACCAGTAAAACCTGAAAATATATGATGTGATAAATCCCAGACTAGCTTACTAAGGTCGGCCGCCACCTTCCTCCAACATCCCATTCACCACCACAGCCTTGTGTCAGAAGTAGCACTGGTTCCCTAAAGTGTTTAATTTTTAGTATCTGTTATCAGTATAGGGCAGAGTTGCCTCCTAGAAGCGATCTTGACTTGGAATCCAAGTTGTGCTCTTACAATAATCATCACTAATGTTCGGAACTATCAATTATTTCAAAACCGGTGCACACACACACACATACACACGCATGCATGCACAGCTACTCACCAGTTAAAGAACGAGCGTACCGCCTTCTTGCCGTACTCCTCCACCTGCTGGGCCCCGAACGGCCCCACGGTGGCCTTGATGCCCCCTGTCCCCACAGCAATACATACCAGGGCGATATAGTAGTACACGCGGCGTGTCGTCTTAAAAACAGAGTGTACTTTCAGGTAGGTGAACTTATATTGAGTTGAAAGATTCAGTCATATTTATTCAATTGTTTGATCGGCATTCCAGAAGTTGAAGAGCCTACGACTTTATGGCTAACAACAGCGAAAGCGACGTTTCGGGGTTTCGGTTTCTGTGCAATAAACAAGAAGTTGTTGTCCATGAAATCGTACGCCTCATCATTTTCTTTCAGTTCTAGGTTTTACCCGTGAAAATTCGGGTTAGAATTGGTCTCGAGGTACTCTTTAGAGGCGACTAACAGCATCGGATGATCAAGCTCGCAGACTAGTGTTGTGCATGGTATTACGTGACTCGATGCACATTATGTCAATCATTGGATTGTTTGGTCAAAAGTCGATTACCTACAGAAAGCCGTTTTATAGCTTGAAAATTGCTAAGTGTGGCGTTAAACAGCAGACAAACCACAGGGTATTCATAAATAGGCAAAATATCAAATGGCCACTGCACTGACAGGTTGACATGTGAAGTGTTATTTCCAAGGAAAGGTGGGCTTCAGTACCACCTTGCTTTAGTGAATGAATTCGTTGGATGATGGCAAAGTAAACAACACCGAAGTTCCGATGTATGTACACTGATGTCACTACTGGTTGGCTTTGCAGAAATATGTAATCGGTATGCCCTTAATGATTTGCGATTTGCATCTTGCTTTCAAAATGTCCTCAATAGTTGTGCTCTCATAACTGATCCGTCATTGCATCGATTAACATAGTGTTACACGCGTGACTGCTGAACGCTTTCCACCTATCAATAACATAAGATGATCACGCCTTACCAGATCAAGGTCAAACTGAGATCCATCCTCATCTGTACCAAACCAAGGGCGGTAATCCATCGCGGAGGCGGGAATTAGCACGAGACCTATACAGGTTTAATGAAAATAATTCCCAGCCTTCTGTACGTAGACAGTGGTGCTATTGGGCATGTATTGCTTTCTTTCAACCGTCATGATGTGTGTGAGGTATTCTTTGGAACATATTTAGTTATGTCTAAAGTTACCAACAAAGTGTAAAATGTTTAAGATATATCTAAACTTAACTACAAAACAGACAAGGTGAAAAGCATTGGATATGTACCAAAAATACCTACAATATACCAATTGACATAAGCGTAAACAACAATATACACGAGTTGTTTTGATTGGGCGAGGTGACGTCACTCCTACAGTATATACGAAGTGACGCCAGTGAACACTCACTTACGGTATACACGGAAGTGACGTCAGTGGAGACTCAAATATACACCAAGTGACGTCAGTGTAGGGTCACAATATACAAGTGACGCCAATGAACACTCACTTATGGTATACACGGAAGTGACGTCAGTGGAGACTCACAATATACACAAGTGACGTCAGTGTAGGGTCACAATATACAAGTGACGTCAGTGGAGACTCACAATATACACCAAGTGACGTCAGTGGAGGGTCACAGTTCACACGAAGTGACGTCAGTGAAGACTTACCCACAATATAAATTAATCCCGAGCCAAGAATTGCGTTGAACCGACCGGACATGCAATCAGCTATGTAACCACCGAATAAGGGCAAAATGAGGGCGGTTCCTGCACAGAGAATATTGGTAAGGTCGAGAAAATGAACATGTAAAGATTTTCTAACTGTGTAGATGACGTTTTAAGTCAAACCATTATTACTACTGACACGTATTAAACAGTCTTCATGACATTGATGGTTTTGGGGAACATATAAATTTTCGCAGATTGGACACACATTTAACTTATAATGTGACATTCTCAGTTAACAGGAACAAGATGGTGTTGTCTGTCCTATGGTGTGTAGTCGCTGTCTGCGCTGTGATGTGATCTTGTTAACGCTGTTGCTGTACGTATATGTGATTTAGGGTCGTATTGCCAATACCAATTATGGTTATAGTCGACGTCCGCTTTTTAGGTTAACAACGGTGTCGTAGTTGATGTAATGACATTAACAGTGAGTGAGTGAGTGAGTGAGTCTAGTTTTACGCCGCACTCAGCAATATTCCAGCTATATGGCGGCGGTCTGTAAATAATCGAGTCTGGACCAGACAATCCAGTGATCAACAGCATGAGCATCGAACTGCGCAATGGGGAACCGATGACATGTGTCAACAAAGCCAGCGAGCCTGACCACCCGATCCCGTTAGTCGCCTCTTACGACAAGCATGGGTTACTGAAGGTTCATTCTAACCCGGACCTTCACGGGTCGACATTAACAGCGGTGCTGTAGTCGACCTCTTGTGTTGTCGTTAACAACGGTATTGCTGTCAACGCATTGTCTTGTCTTTAAGGAGTCGCCATGTTGTGTTTCAGTACCAACTGTATCGTAGTTGAAATGTCGTATTGTCATGAACAGTGAGTTTGCATGAAGTTCTTGAAAGGCATTTAGAAGTTGGATGAAAATGAGAACATGACACGCTTTTTATGGATAGCAACTTCTTTTTATTCTTTATACGACGTTTCAGAGCTAATTCTTGCTCCTACATCAGGTGAACGTCGAGGGTAAATGAAGGAGCAAGAATTAGCTGTGAAACTTCGTATAAAGAATAAAAAGAAGTTGCTATCCGTAAAAACGTGTCATGTACTAACGGGGTTTGCATTAGACGTGTGGTCGTACCGTTGATGAGAACAGACACCTACCAGCGAACACCTGGTGTATCTTGACAGACAGTGGAGCCGGGAGTTGCAGGACGCTGGTAGAGAAGAGCATCTGATTGGCCGTGACGCTGTAGTACGTCAACCGCTCACACATCTCCACGGTGAGGATGAGCACTGCAGCGACCAAACTCCGCCACGACATACTCTTAGCATCGACATCGTCTCCCTCGACTCTTGGCCGTGATGTATCACCCTTGTCGGCCACAGTGTCACTACTGTCCTCCATACTGGGACTGCGACTGTGATGTTATCACAACACACTACATTCATAAAAGGGACAGTGGCATGTCAACGTCTACGATAATGATCAGAAAGTTAGGGACCGTTCATTATTTATGGCTGGGGGGTTCAGGGGGTGGGGTGATGAGGACTTTTCTGGAGAAGCATGTACAATGTGAATGACCCCCCCTAAAATTTATGTACAAAGTAAGTGACCCCCTTGCATGTCATGTACTTAGTCAATGACCTCCCCCTTTCCATATTTTTAAAGCATAATTTTTAAATATTTGTATGTACAAAATTACTGACCCCCTAGAAACATGTGTACAAAATTGATGACCCCCCTACCTCCCCTGAACAAAGTGGGTGACCCCCCTTGAAATCATCATCACCCCCCTAGCCATAAATTATGAACGGTCCCTTAGGTGGATTTATATATCAAACGTACGATTAACATTAGATTCAACCATTCTGACAATATCCATATTAAGACCTTGACCTTCATGTATGAAGGCTCTGTGGGTACGTTAAGGGAGAGAATGAGTAACCATCTCAGGAACGTTTGGCGTTAACAGTAAATGTCACGTAAATCTATTTACTTTACGTACTTTTGTGTGGGTCTTTGACTGTTTTTGTTACTTTTTATGGTCATTAGAGTGATACTTTCATACTTTGGCTGCATAATTGTCCACACACAACGTGCACCTCATAAGAAACCCTAATTACGTTTTGGTTCTCCATTAAAAACCTCATTGTGAAGGTTCGTTGCGTATGTGTGATGCTGTTTCTTAGCTGGTTAACGGATTTCACGGAAATGTTAAAATGACAAAACGGCATGTGTTTTCATATCCCCGTCTTCTGACAAGAGTGTGTTTGAAGCAACCTTTCAAATTCTCATGAACATCCTCAGATGCAGACTTTAACACACATTCCACATGATCCGGGTACTGCAGACTCGAAGCGTGTTTACTTGCCTACATCTGACCCCGGGTGAGTCCCATGTATCACCTGTGGTAGTGCTGACGTCAGGAGCAAGTGAAGTATGTGGAGCCGCGGTCACCTGACGGAGACTCTATGTTGTTATCTCCGCGACAACAGACCAAAGAACAGCCACGGCGAATACATACGAGGGTGGATGACAGGCGTCTGCCTCGTTAAACACAACAGCAGATTACATACGATGATCTGAGCTGATATTATTGCGTCGGATCTTCTTAAAGCAATGTGTTTTTTTCTGACCCAGTTAGGTGAACAAGTACCATTGTCGGTAACTAGTTGAATTTCTGTCAGTTTAAAGGTTTCTGTCATCATTTTTTAACTCAAACATAATGACGGCAGTTATTTCTGACACTGAACTTGGGACCCGGAAGTTTTGGCCGCTGAACCGTTTTGGATACGTACAATATTCCATTGCTATGGACCTGTGAAGATCGGCGTTAGAATTGATCTTTAGTAACAAATGCTTGTCGCAAGAGACGACTAACGGGATCGGGTGGTCAGGCTCGCTGACTTGGTTGATACATTTCATCGTATCCTAATTGCGTTGATTGATGCTCATGCTGTTGATCACTGGATTGTCTGGTCCAGACTCGATTATTTACAGACCGCCGCCTTATAACTGGAATATGTCTGAGTGCGGCGTAAAACTAAACACACTCACTCCATTGCTATGTCTGACAACACACAGGTTCCACAAGCATGAGATTCTCTCCGATTGTAGAATCGATCAATCAATTCCGTACAATACACGAAATATAGAGACAGAAGTTTGTTTCTTGAAGCCACATTCCACCGGTATGAGTGCGGCCAGCCAATGATCGAGTCTGATCCACCAGTCAATCCGATGATTGATACAATGAACAACGACCCAGACAGCTGGGTTCGACACGGTTTCATCATCAGCGAGCAGGATCACCTTATCCATATACTCACATCTTACGACAAGCATTGGTTGCTGGGTATTCATTCAAACCCTGAATCCACAGGAGGACGATTCGTCACATCTTCCACAGACCAATCGGGCGGAGTGGCCTGGTGGTTAACGCGTGCGCTCGTCACACCGAAGACCCGGGTTCGATTCCCCCACATGGGTACAATGTGTGAAGCCCATTACTGGTGTCCCCTGCCATGATATTGCTGGAATACTACTCTAAAACCATACTCACTCACTCACTCCATAGACCAATCAAATGATTGTGTATGTTTTTCATCTGTTTCATTTTTATGTGTCTGCACATATATGTGTCTGTGTGTGGCATTCCTAAAAGGTGAAACACTATTTCAATTTGCGTTGAAGAATAAATATGTATTGCTACACAACTCATTATCGCAGTTGTAGTGGAATATTAAACTACGCAAAACAATATAAAGAGTGTACTGAACAGCATCCTCTGGTCCAGTGTTCGGATTCCAAAATATGCGTGTTTGTTTACATGGACTCCCGTCACGTCTTATGCATATTAGCCTCTAAAGGTGTTTCGGTCACCTATTGTACAGAATGGCAGGATGATAAAGAAGAGGTCAAACCCACTCCTCAACCGAAACGATAGTCTGTCTCACAGCCCCTGAACCACATTATTTTCCGTACTCTGCAGTGCTAAAGCCCTAAATAAAGCAAGTCTAGATTTCCTCTGGTCTCCCTAGGGCTTCTTTTCAATACAAATGGGCTTGTTTGTTACTATCAAAATTATATATATTCAGAGACTAAGCCTTAGTCTACCGAAACGCCTACTCAACCCCAACACAACCTGAAATATATCCAGCCACAGCTCCAACACCATGCAAAACAAAACCAATTTATTTAAATGATTTTATATCCATGAACAAACACTCACAAGCACATCCATGATACACGATCTAAAACTTCCAGTATTTACACACATCCAACTCATAATAACAAGTTCAAGTTTGGCACATGGAATAATGTCACAAATTATTGATATGTACAAAGATTGCTATGTTAGGTACTATGATGAGACACGCGAGTTAGTTTACACATGCGAAATAACACAATAATACAGGTAGACCAGGGCACCTGTCATCGATCTACCATGTCTTGGTTCCAAGTTACTCCACTGTGTCACATGCCACTAACATTGCTCAAATCGTTTAAAAGGTTCTCATTTGTGAAGTTATTGCTGCAACTTGCCAACATTCGTCACTGATCATGGCAACAGGACATTGTCAAGAAAAGCTTGTGTAACAGTTCACAATTTCCAAACATCATACTTGAAGAGATCTCAAATACTTACAATCAAGGACAGTACAATATTGGCATTCTGGATTGCCTCCCTTGCACTGGATGTATCTAACTGAAGCAATCTGTCCTCATCGCTTCACGCAACTCATTCTCTTCTGACACCTTTCCCTGTCCAGTCCACAACGTAGTACTGGGTCTTGATGCGGAGATACAGCTCACGGCCCGATGCGGCATGTACCGAGTGACGACAAACGTCGAGGACCGTAATCGATTTGATCCAACGAGAAACATTTGCAGCCACGGACCGCCAGTTTTTAATTTCAAGGCACCAGCAAATTAAACAGTAGCGTTCGGATAGGTGTAAAACCAATCACGACATCGAGTCCAGTAGTACAGCTATACTCAGTTAGCACACTACAATGTCCTAATAAAGAGTCCTGAGTCTGTTTCTATGGTTACACTGGGAGTCTTTTCCTATGAAAGATTGACGACACAGTCAAAACATTTTGGTCATTATGACCCACCGACAACCTTTTGTTCATAGTTGTCTGTGCTGACCATCATCTCTGTTCCAGATCGTGCCGTCAAAAACAAGTATTAGTCGAGCAATACAACAAACAAGGCTATGCAGTCAGATCCATATTCCAGCTTGGGGCGGTATGATGTCTCATGTTCGTAAGCATGATGCATGGCTAACCAGTTTCTCCCATCAGCAACAGCTCCCTTGAATTGACTCTCTGCATCTGTCATCTCTAATCTCCCACGACTCCCGACCTGGAGCGGTCTAAGCGGCTGATTGTCAAGAAGCTGGAAGGAGGGTGGTGGTTAATCATAATTTAAATGAATGTCCATGCTACAACACTCGTCGACTATCTAAATGTCTCGGGAACAGATGATGTTATGATGTGGTTCTTGAAGATGACTGTTATTGATGTCTGATGACTGTTCCCATATAAGTTCACAGTTTGTCTCATACACCTTTCCTCATTGCAGTGACTTCACCAAATAGCCATTGGCTTTAGCACACCTTCGTAGGTACAACACCTCTGAAGCAGCCAAATAACACACGGATCAGTTTCAGGCTTTAGGACCAGTCGACGATCATTTTTGTGTCTGTTAGTATAAGTAGCTGAAAGTATCAATAACTGGTGGCGTCACATTGTCTTATGGTCATACAGGGCAGTATCTACAATGATGAACATAGTCGGATTCCGCCGCCTGGCAATAGATACATGCCAGTCCTCTAGTTATTCATAGATCCATGAATTTGTGACACTTCTATACGTGACGCCTGTTTACTTATTCCTCCAATCACCTCTGTAGTCACGCAAACCACTACCTTCCTTTGGAATGCTTAACTAAGCTTTCTAGTAAAGAATCAAATGACACTGTTTTCGAAACTGAAGTTACCCAAATCCTCGCCAAACTGAGTAAAACCCTATCCAGCAGTGACATTGACAACAACCACTGACAGGTTCGCTCAGTGGACGATGACGTCATGGACTGTCCGTTCCACGTCCACACCGGCTGTTGTGTGTCACTACCTGCAATCACATATATGTGGTCCTATGAAGACGGCTCCGTAGTGTTTCCCCGACTGGCTGTTCCGTGTCCCTCCTCTGTTGTTTGACCCGGAAGGGTTTCAGGATGACCACATGCCAGTTCTCCGGCAGCAGGATCAGCAGTAGACCGATGCAGATGAGAACGAGGGCAGCTATCTTCATTCCCAAGAACTCCCGACCCTTCCACACAGAGTCAGCAACTGTAGACGACACAACCATGTCATTGTTTTGTCAGGGAGGATTGGGACCAGCATGGATGTATTGTTTGGGAACAGGTCAAGCATATCAGAATAGAACACAGACTGTGCGTACATCTTTACTTGAACAGTAAACTTGTCAGCGGTTATCAACATATAAATACATCATTAGCTGAAAATGTCTGCAAAATAACACGACAACCATGCGTGAATCATTTATATTCCTTACAGTATTGTTACATACATACGCCCGCACGTACATACGCGCGCACACACATACTCACACAAACTCTCTCACACATGCAAACATATGCATACACACACTTACAGACACACAGACTATTTCACACACACACATACACTTGCTGTCAAACGCACCACACACACCACTATACAGGCACATTCAACAAACACGTGCACGCACACATACGTGACTCACCTGCACATATTGGGATGGCCATGGCCAGGCCGAGGCCAGTGAAGAGTGGATACGTCAATACAGCGACATAGTTGATCAGTATTTGGTACACTGAAACAGAGATGCGTAATGTTGATTCACCGTAAACATGTAGACCACCTGTCTGAGTGACCTACATCACCCCCTTCTTCACGACCAAATGCTCCGTAGGATATTCAATATTACACAACCCATACAATAATCAATGGCATATCAATGTCGATTAGGTTCAGTCGTTTAACAGTTCCAGTGGTGTTTCTAGTAGGTCGTCGTCGACCTCCTCCGTGGTGTAGTGGTTAGAGCGTCCGCCCGGAGAGTGGAAGGTAGTGGGTTCGATCCCCGACCGCGTCATACCAAAAGACGTTAAAATATGGTACTTGTAGGTCCCCACCTGGCGCTCGGCATTAATAGGTACAACAAGGACTTGTCGGCTCGGAGTCAGTATACTGTGTCTGAGTGGGGTATTCATGCTTCACTGCGGCATGGTATCTCAGTGGGCTAGCACTATAAAACCAGCTTTAGTCTGGGCTAGTACAAGCCGCCGCACTTACACATACGCATGCACGTCGTCATATGAGCGAAATATTCTCAAGCACGACGTTAAACCCAATTTCACCTCACCTCTAGTAAGTCGTCAATCTTTAGATATCCTGTCTTTTGAAAATGTATTATACATATCCAGCCTTCTGTCTATTCATACAAATCAGCCGCCGAGATGAATGGTCATGGCAACTGGTTCCGGTCAAGTACTTACCTACAGTTAATGCAGCAGTTGGACAGATGAATTGCCATGGCAACTGGTTCCAGTCAAGTACTTACCTACAGTTAATGCAGCAGTTGGACAGATGAATTGCCATGGCAACTGGTTCCGGTCATGTACTTACCTACAGTTAATGCAGCAGTTGGACAGATGAATTGCCATGGCAACTGGTTCCGGTCATGTACTTACCTACAGTTAATGCAGCAGTTGGACAGATGGAATTGCCATGGCAACTGGTTCCAGTCAAGTACTTACCTACAGTTAATGCAGCAGTTGGACAGATGAATTGCCATGGCAACTGGTTCCGGTCATGTACTTACCTACAGTTAATGCAGCAGTTGGACAGATGAATTGCCATGGCAACTGGTTCCAGTCAAGTACTTACCTACAGTTAATGCAGCAGTTGGACAGATGAATTGCCATGGCAACTGGTTCCGGTCATGTACTTACCTACAGTTAATGCAGCAGTTGGACACTTGGATTGCCATGGCAACTGGTTCCAGTCAAGTACTTACCTACAGTCAAAGCAGCAGTAGGACAGATGAATTGCCATGGCAACTGGTTCCAGTCAAGTACTTACCTACAGTTAATGCAGCAGTTGGACAGATGAATTGCCATGGCAACTGGTTCCAGTCAAGTACTTACCTACAGTTAATTCAGCAGTTGGACAGATGAATTGCCATGGCAACTGGTTCCGGTCATGTACTTACCTACAGTTAATGCAGCAGTTGGACAGATGAATTGCCATGGCAACTGGTTCCAGTCATGTACTTACCTACAGTTAATGCAGCAGTTGGACACTTGAATTGCCATGGCAACTGGTTCCAGTCAAGTACTTACCTACAGTCAAAGCAGCAGTTGGACAGATGAATTGCCATGGCAACTGGTTCCAGTCGATGACCTCGACACCAGTGTAGTACAGGGCGAGGACCACAGGCCACAGACAAGCAGTGTTTATTGTTCCTTTGAAAATATAAGATTTGGTTATCAAAGTGCACAGACATTTATGCCGAACGTGAGATGCAATGTAATTGCAATGTGGCTTTATGCTGGGATAGAAGATATAATAATACATATTAGCATAAAACCAACCAGCTTCTCGAAGTTATGGATTATCTGAGCCAAGTGTGTGGAAGATAGCGTTCGTTCACAAAGCAGAAAATTCGTAATTCCGAGCTATTACTAGGAACCTTAAGTCATTTGAACAAACATAAGAAAGAAGAATATTTTCTTTACGAATCATCTAAATGCAAGTTACAAACGTTAAAACACTCGATTCAGGGAAATACATGTTTGCATTCTAAAATTGGTAACCGGATTACACCAAGAGGTATTCTGCCATGGATCGAAGACAATTACCTCGAACAAACACAACCAATCCCAGAACTAGAGTTTATCATAGCTATAAAGGATTTAAGACAAAAAGAAATAATTATTTTGTGACATGCTGTTTGTTATTGTGCCCACCATAGCAACAGCTCTGTGAAGATTGAAGTATATACAAAAGCCCACCATTGTGGCTCAGACAGGAAATCACAAACAGTGGATGGCAATCTATTTTCGCGATTGTTTACCCAAGGTTTTACAACAACACATGCTAAATGCATGAATACATGGGTTGTGTTGCTGATTATTTTAAACCCTGAATGCTCATATTTGCCTGTTTTAACAGGAATATCTTGGTATTTCGCCATACGGCTATGGATTGTCTGTCACCAGGGACTTCATACAACCCTGACAACCCATGTAATCCTATGAGTCACGGAATACATCCATCTAGCACATTACTTACAAATAATAGCAACACAATGTATACTGTACCTACACAGTAAACTGTGGAATCCGAGAAGGGACATTGTCGCTATGTCGCATTGTCGCCCTCTCCAAAACAAGTAAAGTGAGGCAAAATAAACCAAAACGCGACACGCGACATCGCGACAATGCGACAAATAGGCGAAATGTCTCGTTGTTGCGATGTCGCGTGTCGCGTTTTGGTTAATTTTGCTTGTATTTGAGAGGGCGACAACTCGACAATGCGACAATGACCCTTCCAGGATTCCATAGTAAACCATGCGTATGTTCGTAAATGGCATTTGATCCAGATTTACTCGAAGGCTTTTAGAAATTCGAATCCACCTTCTAGAGAAGTACCATAGAACAAAAATGTTTGGACGAACATCGACGAACAAACGCTCCACATGCGGACAATGAACCGGGCGATTTTCAGACAATATTGCTTAAAGATATTAATGCATTCCATTTTTAAAAATTTTGAAATATTCTTTCATATCTGTTTTACATATCACTTACCTATTAATGTTAGAAATAAAGAGATTTGTCCTAAGGTCGCAGCCCCAACTAGCTTCTTCAGGAGGACCTGCAAGACCAAGGTTCAGCGTTATATAACCGCATGAGTGAGTGTGTTTTCGGTTATATCAAGGCGTATCGGCTTCAGTGCTTGACGTAACAATGACTTAACAGGCGTAAGAGCAACACTAACAGGGCACATTTAGGCAGATCTTGTGATCTATACGCGAAGCAGGTGTCAGGACAGCACCAACGGGGCACATTTAGGAAGATATTGTGATCTATACTTGAAGCAGTTGTAAGGGCAGCACCAACGGGGCATATTTAGACAGATCCTGTAATGTGCACTTGAAGCAAGTGTAAGGGGAGCACTAACGGGGCACATTTAGACAGTTCCTGTGATCTGCACTTGAAGTAGGTGTAAGGGCAGCACTAACGGGGCACATTTAGACAGTTCCTGTGATCTGCACTTGAAGCAGGTGTAAGGGCAGCACTATAAACTCACATCGAGCTTTTCCGTCACTCACCTTGTAAGTGGCGATACCGGCTGAAGCGGCTACAGCTACAACAACCCCCCACATCGCCTGACTGCCGAAGCCGTCGACGTAGGCGAAGAGGACAATGCCAGTGATGGAGAATATCATGGCAAGAATCTGAAATATACGGAGACAACATATATTGAAAGCATTGTTGCATCCCTAAAATAACGTGTTGCATCCCTAAAATAACGTGTTGCATCCCAACTGCAACAACTGCCACTATACATTAATTTCGACCTCCCCTAAACTCCAGACATCAGGAAGGCTTCCATAGGAATGAAATCAACCATCAAAGAATATTGGTTAAGCCGATTACAAAACACTGACCGAAAGTCCATGACGTAATTTGTCGGTAGTGTGGAATAGGCAGTGGTCGTTTTTATTGAAGTTGGTATTTCTGCTGCCGTACCTACCTACGCTGTACATGGTTAACAGGAAGTCATATAACCACATTTTCAAATTAGAGGGTCATTCAGTATCTCTATCAATGTTTCGATAGTTTCGAAGTACGACCAAGGGAGTTTTTTGTCACTAGATCTTTAACAAGAGCGATATCGTTCTGCCTTAAAATAATAATTACATTCCGATTTTATTCATAATGAGAATATGAATTATCCACTATGAGTATAAATTACTGCCTTCTACTGCGGTGGAGTACTCCCGTGGTTAGAGCGTTCGCGCATTTCACAAAAGACCCGGGTTCGATTCCTCGTATGTATGAAGCCCATTTCGGGTGTACCTTGCTGTGGTAATGCTAAAAGCGGCGTAAAACAATTCTCACTCACTCACTCATTTCTGTCACTGGTTTTCAGTGTATTGCGTAACGATGCATGGTGCGTCAGAACATATTGATGTATTGATTAATATATGTAATATATGATTACGGTGGCAATATTAAGTATGGATTAAATCTGCAGTGACTACGGTGGCGTTTTTAGGAAGTTAAATTCATGTTATACTCCACAGAAAACAGTGGATAGAGTTATTAGTATGCATATATGAAAGTCATTAGCACAAAGACACACATACATTATATATATACTGAACATCATTGAAAACGCACCACCTGTAAATTTTGAAATATGGTAATAGGATTGTTTTGAGAGTGAAAATGAACGTTGGAAATGTTAATAACACGAAAGACGATAAATAATGTTGTACAGTAAAGAACGGATTGCCCGAACACATCATGGAACACATCACATGACAACAACAAAATTCATGCACAACACTCACGAAAAGCACAAATTGCATGCGTAAAACATGCTGATTAGGGGTATAAATGACCGTCGGCAAAAAACCGTTCTCATTTCAGCTGTACCTCCGCAAGTAAATGTTTTTTGGCAATGCCAAGATTGTCACCAGAGGAACGAGAACGGGCGTTGGGCATGTTGCAGGTTGGCACATCAAGCAGGATTATTGCCAGACGATTTGGTTGCCATCATTCCACCATCATAAGACTTACCAACAGGTACCAACAAACAGGAACCACCATGGACCGCCAACGTCCTGGCCAGGCACGTGTTACCACCCCTCGCCAAGATCGAGACATTGTTCCGCGCCATATTCGGGATCGTACGTTGCCGACTGCCAGAATCGCCAGCGCTGTCCAAGGCCGACGTGGTTTGATCAATGCGTCCACCGTCCGACGCCGTCTCCGTGCGGCAGGATTACGGTGTCGACGCCCTTATGTTGTACCCATCCTGACTGATAGACATCGCCGTGAACGCCGACGATGGGCTGAACAGCATCGTCTGTGGTTGTTACGACGTTGGCATGGTGTTGTGTTCTCCGACGAGTCACGTTTTCACTTGCGAAATGCTGATATGGCGGGTATGGCGTCGACGGGGAGAACGTTACCATCAGTACTGTGTTGTGCAAACAGATCGGTGGGGTGGAGACAGCATTATGGTGTGTGGGGGGGATCAGTTATCATCACAAAACGGCTCTTGTAGTTTGTCGTGGCAGAGTCAATGCCCTTTACTACTGTGACACCATTCTTCAGAACAACGTCGTTCCCTTCTTTAACCAACATCAAGATCTGCACACATTCCAGCAGCACAATGCTCGAGCGCACACTGCACGTGTTGCAACACAGTTTCTGGCAAACAACAACATTCCCCTACTTCCATGGCCTGCATTGTCACCAGATTTGTCTCCCATTGAACACTTGTAGGATTACATCGGCAAACGCCTCTCACGTCGCCCACAGATCAACAACCTTGGGGAACTTGAGAATGCCTTGCAACAAGAGTGGAATGCATTGCCTCAAAACATTATTCAGAGACGTATCAGTTCACAGACGTTGCACAGCTTGTGTTGCTGCTAACGGTGGTCATACACGTTACTGACTTTCCAATTTGACTCCATCTTTCTTTCATGGTCAGCTGAATTAAAACTTCACTGTGTTGCTGGATTGGTTCTTGTTTCTTCTCTTTACCAATGATTGGACTACAAAAGTATGTAAAATTTACACCGATTGCTCATTTATGCCCTTGGAAATCCAAACTAATACAGGTGATGCGTTTTCAATATAATTTGATAATGTGGCAATTGCAATAATCCAAACAAAACGAAATGCATAATCCACATGTGTTAATTATATTCTCATATCTATCATGGACAGAAGGTGCCAGGCCAAGATTGGTGCTAATGTATTACACCCGCGGTGCTGAGTTATCAAGACCTCGATTTTTGCCATTTCCGTGTAACATGACACGCGTCCACCTGTTGTCATGACTGCAATATGACATCCACCAGGTGTTCAGATGTGCAGTAAATGGGTGTTATTTCCCATATCTATTTATGCGTATACTGTATACCATTAGGAATATGTACAATAGGTCAGCTACAGTGCCTCGACTTTAATTAGAAAAACAATACCAAGGTCAAGGATGTTTTCTCCACGAGAGGCTGGTATATGTATACACAACAGGGACATATGCGATGGGTTCATTACTTGCAATGTTAGGTTGGACACCAACAACTATAGCCGCCATATAGCGTAAAACTAAACTCACTCACTCACCAACAACATTATTGTAGAAAGGTATGGTTTATGCAAGACTGCCCAACACTAATTACACACTGCTTAATTCTAACTTATATCCACCTAAATAACGCCAACAGGTGAGACGGTAGTCTGTCTCACAGTCACTGAACCACATTATTTTCCGCAATGTATAGCCCTCCCTGAAATGCTAAAGCCCTAAATGGAGCAAGTCTAGATTTCCCCAGGTTCAGGAATCTCCCAACTCACTGGGGCTCCTTTTCAATTTAAATGGGTTTATTTGTTACTATCAAAATGATATATACATACAGGGACTAAGCGTTAGTCCAGTGAGACAGCAGCACAGGTGGGTGTTGACAACTGGTCACTACAAGGCATGATAGTTTGGCATGAAATGCATGTGGACCCGGTTTTTTGTAAATATCTCTTCATCCAATGACCCAATCGATCTCAAACTGTGCAAGTGGATGTTTTGTCAGACAACCTAATCACATTGTAAATCACCGATTTTATGCATTTGTATTAAAGAATCTGTCTATGTAACTGTCAACAAAATTAACAGCAGAACGCAGAATGCTTGCAGAGGGAGGGAGCCAATGACCTGTAACAGCGGCAGTGTTGGGTCATAAAGGTCAACGTTCGTCAATGTAGGTCAGCTATGCACGTGACAGGTATGAAGAGGTGTCACAGGTCGTGAATACGGTAAGGTGGGTGCCAACTGTTAACCATCATACGGAGTTTGTTTCTCTGAGTTGTTCAACATTAACCACAAAACCCATTAGTGAGAATTATTCTGTAGGTTAAAATCTTTAAATTTTGCAAATAGCCGGCGAATGACATCTCTGATGACCCTGATGTCAAAAGAATCTAACTTTGGATGCCTACCTTTTTGTACAAGGTTTTGTTTATTGGTCGTTGGTTTATTTTTCACAATTTTTAGCACGATGTTCTTTTTCATGCCAAGAGCAAAAGTTGTACGTTTCATGTAATCCGACACCTGACTGACTGAATTTGGTTTTACGCCGCTTTTAGCAATATTCCAGCAACATCACGGCGGGGGACACCAGAAATGGGCTTCACAAATTGTACCCATGTGGGGATTCGAACCCGGGTCTTCAGCGCCGACACCTTATAAATCGGTTTGCTACGTTTGCTCTCTTTTTTAAAAAAATTCAACACATTTCTAATTAAACGTTTAGCATCATCTGAATAAGCTTTCATGATGACAGCTAGAAGTAGTCAATGTGAATGATCCAAACGGTCTATCACTGTGCAGTGCACAGGTAACTATCATGAACTGCACGAGCATTGACCTTTATGACCCAACACTGCCGCTGTTACAGGTCATTGGCTCCCTCTCGTCTGCGTTCTGCTGTTTATTTTGTTGACAGTTACATAGACAGATTCTTTAATACAAATGCATAAAATCGGTGATTTACAATGTGATTAGGTTGTCTGACAAAACATCCACTTGCACAGTTTGAGATCGATTGGGTCATTGGATGAAGAGATATTTACAAAAACCGGGTCCACATGCATTTCATGCCAAACTCTTCCGAAAGTGTATGTCTACATTCTACGTACAGGTCAGAGATTCGTCACAAGCTTTTTGTCACCGGTCAAACACTCGATATTTGGAGATCATGTCCTGGTCAAATATTTAAAGGTACTCGGATTTGTGAATACAGAAGAGATCGAGACATGTGAGCAGACGACAGTGGGGATATGTCAGACACTAGGGCATTTTAGTTTAGATTAGGCCTGAGGAAAGTAAGATATATTCAATTTGTCTAAATATATTGTTATGATCCTGCAAACGAAGTTCTGTTGTTTACCAACACATATTTTTAAGTTGAGCGTGTGATATTAGTTTATGATTGTTAACAATGTCATTGGCGGATCCAGAAGGGGGGTTCAGGCGATCGAACCCCCTCCCCCCTTTTGAACATGACTAAAGACCACATTGAAATTAATGTTTTGCAATGGCAGAGCCAAGGTGGGGTTCCAAACCCCTCTCTCCCCCCCTGGATCCGCCTATGAATGTAAATATTTTATCGGAAGAAGTATGATGTCACAGATGCTGACGAATGTTTGTTCTGTTACT